TGCTGACAAACCTGGAAGCATAATCATGGTGAACTGGGATTCTAACCAACAATCAAGGTTTCTGGTGTGCAGTGTCCAATGAAAAAAATGACTCCAAAATGTTTGTCTCCAACAACAAATCCCAATGCTCTGAACATACACACAACTCAGCCAGCCCAAAGAAGACAAACTGAGGATCACCATGGAGAAGTAGAAGCCAGTGTTGTCTACACAGATCATGTCACAACAGCCTAACATGTCTCACAGTATTGATTTTCTAGCCTCATTAACCTGTGAATAAATCTCCTGGCAAAACCATAACTACACAGAATCAAAATATCTGATTTATAAATATGCATAGAATATGTAGAATGACTTATTGTTGACAGCTAATAGGAGAGAGCCTGCAGCCTGCTTCAATCACAGCCGCACTGCTACAGGCTCAAAGCTAGGATGGTGAAGCTGCCTTGTTAGAGCCCATTACGTACAATCTCCCGGCAATTTGGTAACAAGCACGACCTTTACATTCAGTAATATCACCAGCACGGAAGTGTGTCATCAATGGTGGTGTTTAACATGCTAAAACTTGTTATAATGAGTTGAAGTATTATGTCGTGGAGCTGTGCCACGCCTATGACTCACACAGTCTGCCTGGAATAGTATTACATCACAAGGATCGCTGCTGGTGATGCAAGTATTTATCCATTATCATTTACCATGTTTACCAGCATACTGCTTATGATCATTCTTATTGGTCCCAACTCCTTAAACTTCATTAACAGCTATTGGCTGACAACAGAAATAAATTGGCAGTTGTCTGCTGGCCGGAGTATCCTGAGAGACTAGAAGAATGTCAAGTGAGGTGAAAGGTCAAATGGGTTCAAGGTTATTGCACTTACGTAGTGCATGCGTCCGTGAGTTGGGTTAATGGAAGTAAAAGTCACATAACATACGGGTGTCATCAAAATAAGTCAGTTTCACAGTGTACTATCTCTACCTTGTACCGTATTCGACGTAATAAGCGCCCCGCTATAATAAGCACCCACGGCGACATTTGCTAAGATATTGGCTAGTGAAAAATCCCAATTAGCACGCCTTCCGATTGATCAATGTACACAAGACTTATTAATTCGCGTATAATACACACTCGTGTGTTATATGCACCCTTAATTATGGCCATTTAATTCAGGAAAAATATATCTGTCGTACATAAACATTTCAGGCTGTCAGCATAAACCAGGAAATTTATTTTTTAACTCTTTTTTTTCCCCACCAAAATAACATTCTAATAAGAGCCCCCTATTTCTAATTTTGAGAGCGCCCTGGGCACTTATTACGTCGAATACGGTATTATATTAACATATTTTACCACTAACATCTGTAACCAGACATCACAGCATGTCAGCTTAATGTGGGAGGAAAGCCTCAAGTGATGCAGGTATTAGACCTTAACAACTTTGGTGAAATCCACAAGCATGGATATGGTGCTGACAAACCTAGAAACATATCAGGCGAAATGTTACGAAGACCTCAAGTATGTGCATGTTTATGTCGCACTAATATCCCTGTCAATAATCAAGCCTGGATCAGGCATTAGCAACGATCCACGTTAACTGGGTACAATGCCACACAATCACCCAGCCCACATTGTGCCAACACAGTCTCCATTGTGTTGGTTTGTACAGTGATCCCTCACGACACCACGACCTTTAGGGTCAAAATAATTGGGTCAAAATTTATAGATGATCAGTGGTTTAACCGAGGTGGAGTGGTAGGGATACATGACCAACACAACAGTACATGCTCTGCCAACCTAACATGATCTACGTCGCTATAGCCTCATGTCACATGTTGCATATCAGAGTTTGAAAAAGATTAAAACATAATAGTTGTTCTTGATTCATAGTGTAATAAAAGATGTTTCGTGTATTATTCACAAGAAAAATACGTTGTATCCCTGCTGCGAATTCAGGTGAACAAATAGATGAAAACAAACTTTGTATGTACAACTAGAACCGTGGATTACTGGGCATCCATACTGCCATAGAATCCCCACTGGCACTATTGGCGGGGACACATCTGTACCTCTTGTGACCAAGGAAGGTATGGCTCTGTGAAGCAGATCTTCATAGTTTCTGTTTACGGATTTGATTGACTATGGCCTAAAGTTTGTTTGTTTGTTGTTTATCGCCGCACTCAGCAATATTCCAGCTATATGACAGCGGTCTGTAAATAATCGAATCTGGACCAGACAATCCAGCGATTGACATCATGAGCATCGATCTACCCAATTGGGATACGATGACATGCATCAACCAAGTCAGCGAGCCTGACCACCCGATCCCGTTAGTCGCCTCTTACGACAAGCATGAGTTGCTGAAGACTAATTCTAACCCAGATCTTCACGGGTGAGCTACAATCAGAAAATACAAAGTAAATAGTTCATGGATTAGAAAGATTTAAGATTACAAAAAGCTAACAGTTAATCTATTAAATAATAACTGATTAAAAATAATGTATAGGATGTTTGTAGTGAATGGCTACACCCTTATCACCCTTGGTAAACCATAAAATTTAGAAAGTTTGGTCTGTTGCCTCCTCATCATGTTCAAAAGTCACTACCATAAGCTACGTGGGAATTGTTTTATTTGTACATCTCTCACATCACAACTTGACATCCGTGGACAAAGGGGGGTAACTCTTTGCAACTGTCAGCTTGCTGTTCTCACTTAGGTACAACATGGGGAAAGGGTTTGACTCTTGTTTAACATCACAGGGGTATAACATGATAATGACACACCTAATTAATCAGTTCTAACATTGCAACCACTCTATTTGATTTTCAGTCCGTTGTTACAATGAGCATGGGGTATTTGGCCGTATTCCCGCTTCAGAATCACGTTTTCAGATAAGAGCAGATGACTGATTTTTTATGGACTACTCTCCATGTTCTGGGGACAGGACAAAAGATCTTTATGGCAATTTTACTTCACTGTAATAAGATTGATATTTCATTGGTATTATATAATCTGTTATGCAACAGATAAGCAAACAAAAACAGATCTGATGTGTCCATACAGCCCCATCATTGCCTTCTGGGTAGCAAGGTTTTGGAGGGTCAGTTGTTTTAATTCCGCCGGACTTTTGTACTTTTTAAAAATCTATTTGTGATGAGAAACGTGAGAACCCTGCCCGGAAGAGGCATATATCACATGCTCTCAAATCCTTTGTCCTTCAGTTCCATATGTATTTTATTGCCCCCATGTTCTGGTGTACTGGTCAAAGGGAAGTAACTCTTGGCTGTTTTGCTGAGAAAACATCCCGATATAATAACAACTAACCCAGCAATAAGAAGTATCATCATGATCATAGAGCTCATGACATGACATGTTCTTCAAGAACAAGAAAGTCAGCGAACAGATTACTGCTGGTACGTTAACACTGGCAATAGCAGGTTAACAAACTTATGGCTGGGTTTATCGAGCATCCCTCCCCTGCAACACACACATTTGTACCCAGCACACTTATTACAGCTGATATGGTAGCTAATGGCACATCTTCCATACTTCAAGGGCATGCTGAATGAACATACTGCATCGAAGCCTGTGAATTAATAATCATGCAGATGGCAGAGCCCCTCCTTAACATGCTTAATCTGTTAGTCCCATATTTACGGTATGTCATAATGTGATGGGTGTTGAAGTGTGATTGAAGTTCGGTGCCATGGAGACGAAAGTAACTACAACCAACATGAGTATTACCGTGATTACTAACGAGCATCAATTGATGAGTAACCATGGTATCAAAAGCTAGTTATATTTTCATTTAACTTTTGTAACATTTTGAGTAAAGTGCCATAAGTTGGTCTTGAGTAAATATAGTAAAATTGTCACAAATTGCGTCTTCAGTACAACAGAAAAGTTTTGGCTTATCCAGAGCTACAGATAATCAGCGTATTTGCGTAAAATACCACCCCCCTCCACCCCCAAATATTCAAAACCCAATTTCTTTCAATTAACTTGTGTACAGAAACGCATGCATTAAATGAAAAACTCAAATGTATAGAAACAGCTCGATACCCTGAGAGGCATTTTCAGCATGCGTACAAAGAAGCTAATTTCCGAAACACAATTACGAGCTACCAGTAATTTACTTCCTGAATCCAGGCTATATATGTAGAACAGTTATATCCATCTAAAACATTATTTCATTTTTTAAAATCTTAAAATGTTCACTAAGTTTGGGGAAAACCCAATGTGTGATGAATAGATGAGTGAAAAAATATTAGTTATCCAATGAAAAATGTAATAACCCAATTAAAATAGAAACCCTGGAGTAAAAACTCAATTGTTCAAAAAGTTATCTGGAGCTCTGCTTCTCCGACAAGCAGATACTATATTGGTTGTTGTCTATGCATTGCTAGTACTTCATGGGTTGCACTACACAACATTCCTCCATCAACCGTCAACCATCAGTACATACAGCTGTATGTATTCACAATGAAGGAGGAGGTGAGTTGGGTTTAACGCCGCTTTTAACAGTATTACAGTTATATATCGCAACGTGGCAGGAAAGCCCAAAGTGATGCAGGTCTCAGACATTTACCACTTTGGTGAAACCCATGAGCACGGGTATGGTGCTGACAAACCTAGAAACATAATCAGGGCGAACCAGACTTACAGGAACTGATAGTACCATACAAGCCTGCACATTCTCTTACATCAAAAGATCATGTGCTAGAGGTGCCAAAGTCACGTACCAAAACACATGGAGATAGGTCATTTCAATATGCTGGCCCATTTGCTATCAAACAATCTGCCACAAGAAATCGAGAAACAGAAAATCTGACAAACTTTAAAAAGACACTCTACACCTGTCTCTTCAAGAGAGCCTTTGACTAGATCAAACATGGTCCAAGCGAATTTGAGCAGTTGTTAATTGGAAAATTCTTAATTTAATTTTAATTTAATTTAACCAGGACAAGCAAACTGTATCAGTGTTCGATTCAGTTGCATCATTACCTTGAGGATGAGGTCAGGATCACTGATACAGAATGCCTTCTTCAATGCAAGCCTGACTGTTTCAGTGTCTTCATTGTCATTGATGTTCATGGACACGGCATTGCTGTCAATGTCATCTGAAACAGAGAGGCATACTGATTAACATACATCATCAACAATACACTTTGTCTTATAGTGACATACCGTTCATGATAGGGTATTGGTTGTCAGTTTTGGACAGTAATAAAGTCATATTATAAGTGCATATAGCATGTATAGATAATCACGTCGAGTCCAGGAACACCACTAGTTGATAGGATAAGGGATGTGAAGAAACACAATCAGCCAGATCAGACATTGTGACCAGCCTCATTGGCTGTTATGACAAGCATGGGTTAATTGGAAAACTATTCTGACAGAGAATTTTGCCAGCGAAACAATATTTATCATGCTATGAAATCAACTTCAAGACCAGATATACCTTTTTCATAAAAAAATATTCAAATATTTTAAATCCACTATTCACCGTGTAGCCAAATGTTCAATCAATTATATGTGTTTTTATTCATGCAGTTACAGGTAAATAAATTACATGATATACATCATTTCTTTTCTTTATCTTCCTGTCAAGTGAGTGAGCGAGTATGGATTTACGCTGGTTTTTCGCAATATTCCAGCAAATGCACAGTGGGGGTCACCAGAAATGGGCTAATGCATTGTACCCATGTGGGGAGTGAACCTGGGTCTTTGGTGCGACGAGCAAACATTTTAACCACTATGTTACCCCACCATCCACCTTCGTGCCAAGACACCTCAGTGGTGTATTAATGGTATAAACCCAAAGGGTCCACCGGTGATTGGGTCCAGTGGACATTTTGAGGAAAGCGTCCCCTGAATAATCTGCCCAATCTGTCAAATTACCATGATCTACACCCTGCTGACTCTTACATTTTCTTAAGGACCATGTGGTGTGGGCTAGAAAACATATATTGCCACAATTATCATGGAAGTTTGCAAACAAAAAACCTTCCTTGCACGCACACTTTGTTATTTTCAGTTGATTTATTGCAACAAATATTGAAAGTGTATTATGGTGAGGTGAGGTGAGGTGAGGTGAAATAGGGTTGAACTTCGCATTCAAGATTATTGCGTGTGTGGCTGCTTGTACTGTACCGGAAATATGCAAAATTTGTAGTGATAGTCCACCAAGATACCATCAAATGAAAGTGTGACAGAATATACACTGGCATAAAAGTGATTGAGCCAATACTGTAACTTTACGAACACCCTCAATGAACACTTATGAGATGGACCAGCAGCAGGGTTACGAAATGAACATATTCAGAAAAGATTGTTGACAGACAAGGAATTAACTTGGCAGAAAGCGTGTGAGGTGAGGTGAAATGGGGTTTAACGTCGCGTCCAAGATTATTGCACTTATATAGCGACGTGCATGCACATGTGTGTGTGTGTGTGTGTGTGGCTGCTTGTACTAGACCGGACTGATGCCGATTTATAGTGCTAGCTCACTGAGATACCATGCCACAGTTTAACATGCTTACCCCCTTTAGACACATTACACTGACTCAAACTTTGTCCTTATCTGATCCTCATTTAGTTTATGTCAAGGGCCAGACAGGGTAAAATGTAGCATCTTTTAACGTCTTCTGGTATGACGCGACCAGGGGATCAAATGAGTGAGCTGCTCTTAATCTATATATCTTTACCATTGGGGTAAAATATCCATGGGCCCTTAGGGTGTAATTTTTGTCAACAGGATGTTTGGAAACAGCCACGAGCATGATGAGCCTTGTCACTGACCAGCTGACTGACTCACCTTCACAGATCTTACTTCTATGACCTTTGCCTTTGGGCCCTTTACTTTCGGTGAATTACATTAAATAATTCATAATTTTCCGTTTTTACTACCTTGGCCTAAGCCTACCACTGACTCTATAAACTGTCACCTTGTAATGTTATTAGTAATTCACGGTTAAGAATGACCTGTCACATACTCAAGAAAATAAGGTGGAGTGTACTTACTGGACTAACATATTGCACTCAACGATGATCGAAAACCCCCCAACCCCCAACCTGGCAGAGGCGACTTAGTGATGTTATGTCATTTCGATTTGTAGGTGGTTTTAAAGCTTTCCAATTGTTTTAAGTCACTGCATATTACCGGATACTTGCACCAATACGTAGATAAGCCGTACATCTAGCTAAAACAATAAATTCCACTCGCAGTAACTTACCATCCTCGTCAAATCGTTTGACAACGACCCAGATAGTCTTACTTGCGGCCATTTTTGTTTACACTCAGCATGAGGTAAGGGAAGTAACTCTTGATCTAAGACGGGCACCTGTTGATTACGTAGCGGTCGTAAAATGTCTAAATCCCCTTGGATTCGATCCCCGGACAGTATGATCAGATGTCTTGTCCACATGACCAAGCATGTTAATATGTGATGTACAAATATCCCCATCTGGGTAAAGACGAAAGTGAAAATAAATGTTGTTTTATGTTTGTGGATATAAAATATAAAGTCGAGTGTGGTGACTAAAAAAATTAGGCAACCCCGAGGATAGGTTATTGGCTTGAGTGAGTGCGGGCGCGCGTGCGTGCGTGACAGACAATGCTGCAGTTATATTCAAGGCGTATTATGTTAGAAAGAGGACACACATTTTCAGACTCACAAATGCCCCTCCATTAACAAATTATGTTGCTTCTTAAGGTGTTAAGTGTTTTAAGTATCCATGGTATTCGTGATAACTCGAATACATGCTTGGGGATTCTAGGTTAGAATAGGTCCCAAGCACGCTATACTGGTCGTAAGAAGCGACTAAATGGACCGGGTAGTCAGGCTCGCTGACTGGGTTGATGGCCTGTTATCGTACTCCGACGGCGTGGATAGTTGCTGACAATATCGATGACTGGATTATCTGGACCAGACTCGATTATCTACAGGCCGCCGTCATTTAGCTGTAAAATAACAAACAAATCGATGGAACCTAGTAGTTTTTCTAGGAAGTGTCGAGAGATGACTGGTGTACCACGTTCTACCGGGTACCCGTTAAGTGTTGGGTGAACGTAAGCAAGTTGTAGCTGAGTCACGAGTCTACAGCGACACAATACAATTGATTGGTCGTGTAACGACCAGGTTCTTGACCTCCGGTCCTGTTGTGTGAACCTAGGCTACATCGACTACACAAACTGTTATTAATTCTCCAGATTATTGACTGAACAGTCAGTGTGACACACCAAAACGCACTACAGCATCTGAATAAATACTATTTTATTTCAACAGTTATTTCTATCAGCAGTATTCCAGCTATTGCATGACTGCTTGTAAATAGTCTAGTATTTATCAGTCAAACCAATGGTTGATAGCATGAGTCATGATTTCATTTCCCCCAGTTTAGTTGGCATTGGGTGCCGGGCATCTATTATAACCCGAAATTATCATACGTTGATAACAATAAATTTAAAAATTACAAGTTTTAACCAACTTTAATTTAAAATTGTAAATAACAAAAACCTGTCCGAATGTGTCAAGTTGTGTGTAAATCATCTAATATTCTAAGACTTGAGTGAATGTCTTTGTAGTTCATGTGGAGACTTGATAAGATCAGACTAAGATTTCTTTCAGACAGACAAACCGACAGACAGACCGACAGACAGACAGACAGACAGATAGATATTTTGTTTATGTCTCACTGAGTGTACAGCATTATTTACAACAAGAATCAATGTACATATATAATAGTACACACACCATTCCTTATGGAGTTATGAGAGACTAAAACGATTTAAAATACATTTAAACAAGGTTGAGAAGATAAAATATAAAATGTAATACTTAGGATTTATACACAAGGTTTCGACGACGGGTAAGTATAAAATAGGCGGTTTCGGCGACATGTTTAACAATGTCAACGGTGGAGAATAAAAAGCATAATTGACCTACATCATTCAGATTATCAAAATCTTCTTTAACATCTCGAACAATATTATCGAGAGATTTGCGGAGATTGTTATACACGGGGCATTTCAAAATCACATGTATTTCATTTTCTGCGTCATTACAACACAGAGGACAAATTCACTGTTCCAACAGCAGGTTTTTCAAAACGCCCAGTCTCCAGTCTTATGGGGGCAATGGTTGATAGTCTTGGTCGCCCATGCGGCTAACCTACTTAACGTTGTCAGCTTGATTTGGCTGTTGAACTGTCAGCTGATATGCTGTTAGGATTCACATAGCTAGGTCTGCACTTATATCTGTTGTTGTGTAGAGGAATACAGGTTATCACTATCACGGTGGGAAACTCCGCTCCTGTGGTTGCCATGACTTGGTGTTTTCGGGGCTACTCGGAAGCCGAGTAGTTAAGTGTCTCTCTGCACCCTAGCAGTAAAATGTTTTGCCTGCTCGATCAAAATAACAGCAGTAACATTTTCCATAAAGTGAAATTCCAAATTTGTACTGATCTCTTTAGCATTAACTGTCAGAAATAGGTATGTGCATATTTAATGAACTTAATGTCTGTATCATTAAAGAAAAATGCTTAATATATAATATTGTGAAAATATGAATTTTATGAGAGATATGACGACATCAATAGAAAAACAGAGAGAGAGATAAGATAAGTAAGGTCCCGGGGGTGCACTTAAGTTTTAACATGCAATATCTTGATAAATATTGTAAATCTGAGACAACCTTTGTTAATATTTTCTAATGTGTGATTGCGTGATCTTCAGGCATATGTGGTTACGATCATACGCCAATTAGTATTTAGATTCCGTGATGATTTTATTGAGTTGTTCAATTCAATATTTTAATTATATCTCTTTGTATCAGCTTAATGGTGGAAGGATGTGAGGCCGGATTCAGATCCTGCATGGGCACGAGTATGGTGCTGACAAACCAAGCATGTAAATCAGTGGGAAATGAGATCCTGGCACGCTAGGGAAAAAAGTATGTTCAGCGAACTGCGGGGCTTTAGACGACAGGGACACCCGTTCCCACGATTCGGAGAACATAAAGTGATATCATCATCATCATCATCATCATCATCATCATCATCATCATCATCATCACTGTCGTCGTCCTGGTCGTCGTCATCATCATCACCGTCGTCGTCGTCATCATCATCATCATCATCATCATCATTCATTATGAGCAGCAGCAGTAACAAACTATTCCAATCACATACTAGTATATGAAGATCAGATTAAACATTTCATGATAATAAAACAACTGCTGCACGAATAAATATTATTGACATTATCATCACATGCATGAAGTATTTATTTATTACATATAATTATCATGTCGTAGGTATGGTCTTAGTTCGTATTGCCAACTACAATTGCCGTGTCATGGGGTCACGTGCGCGTCGATGTCACGGTAATCACCTCCATTGTGTGAGGATTATATGACAACCACGTGAGGGGGCGTGACCACCAGGTGAAAAAAGGGTGTGGTCCTTTGTCGGTCAGTCAGTTTGAATCACAACGATGTCCAGTTCGGAAGTCACCGCTGCTCTTCTACTGTCCGTCATAACGGGGAGTCTGGGGCATATATGCATTGTCTTTCCCCACCAAAGGGGCCCCTTAGATATATCGACTGTGAGTAGATCTATATTTTTAATTTGTTCATAGTCACGCTTCTGTGTGATGAAATGCATGGTAAATGTGATTGGTTATACTCACCTGAATATATGTATTAAAGTTTTAAATATTTAATAATACACATGTCTAACTCGTTTAACGCTACATCAAATGACGGGCATCCCACGTTTATATAACACCTCAACTCTCTCACAAAATAACACCCGTGACTTTACATGAGGTTATTCGTGATCAAGAAATGAGTGATTGAGTGAGTGAGTAACTTTGTGTTTGACGCCGCTGTACATTGTTCATCTAGTTCAAGACTAGTAAGGGCACAGGGGCACGGGGGCACGGAGGCACGGGGGCACGGGTGGCCCAGTCGTCTAAGGCGCCGCGATTCGCTGTGCAGATTTGCGTCCCTTGGGCACGCCAGAAACCTATGATTGTGGGTTCGAATCCCGGTTCGCCCCGATTATGTTTCTAGGTTTGTCAGCACCATACCCGTGCTCGTGGATTTCACCGAAGTGGTAAACGTCTGAGACCTGCATCACTTCGGGCTTTCCTCCCACATTAAGCTGACACGCCGTGATATAACTGGAATACTGTTAAAAGCGGCGTTAAACCCAACTCACTCACTAGTATGGGCACACTTGGGACCTCCCGGGTCCCGGAATCCTCCACCGATGGCGGGGTCCTATAAGCTATCAGGGAAACAGTTTATTCATTTCATGTGACATATGTAATATTATATATTTGTAAGATGACCTAGTTTATCGACGAAAGGAATGCGGAGTTGTAAACAAGTTTAGCCGACTTAATCTGATCTTTGACCCTGTATCGTACTAGCGATCGTGTATCTTATACTACCAGGACACGCTGGTCGTTTGTTCGAATCCCGGATTTGATCCGTTCACGATCTCTTGTCCGTCAGCTTTATGCTCGTGGAGACCGCCTCTGTGGTCTTGTGGTAGAGCGTCCGCCCGGAGAGCGGAAGGTCCAGGGTTCGATCCCGGGCCGCGTCATACAAAAAGACGTTAAAAATTGTACTTGTTGTTACCCTGTCTGGCGCTCGGCATTAAGGGGCTAAAACAAGGACTGGTCGGCTCGGAGTCAGTATACTGTGTCTGAGTGGGGTATTCATGTTAAACTGCGGCATGGTATCTCAGTGAGCTAGCACTATAAATCGGCATCAGTCCGGACTAGTACAAGCAGCCACACGCACACATACACGTGCATGCACGTCGCTATATAAGTGCAATAATCTTGGACGCGACGTTAAACCCAATTTCACCTCACCTTATGCTCGTGGTGGTTCTGCCAAAGTGAGTGAGTGAGTATGGTTTAACGCCGCTTTGAGCAATATTCCACCACACATGGGCTTCACACATTGTACCCATGTCGGGAATCGAACCCGGGTCTTCGGCGTGACGAGCGAACGCTTAACCCAATAGGCTACCCTACCGCCCTGGTTCTGATGAAGAGTTACCAGCGACTCTGTCACACTGGTGTACCCCCAACAAGTAGTGATTAGACTGATTACTGTTTAAAGCGGCGTTAAGTATTTAGTCATTCAGATACTCAGAGATCGTCGTCAAGTGTTCTCTAAATTCACTCACTTCTTTGTTGTGTGGTGTATTATTTGTTTGTTTGTTGTTTGACGCCGCACTCAGCAATATTCCTGCCATTTGACGGCGGTCTGTAAATAATCGAGTCTGGAATAGACAATCCAGTGATTGATATCATGAGCATCGATTCATGCAACTGGGATACGATGACATGCATCGACCAAGTCAGTGAGCCTGACCGCCCGATCCTGTTAGTCGCCTCTTACGACAAGCATAGTCACCTTTTATGGCAAGCATGGGTTGCTGAAGACCAATTCTACCCCGGATCTTCACGGGTCTCGTGGTGTAGTGGATAGAGCGGGTGGTCGGAGGTGCGATCCCCGACCGCGTCTTACAAAAAGACGTTAAAAGATTGTACTTGTTGTGAAACTGTCACTGCACAAGCACACACACACACACACACACACACACACACACACACACACACACACACACACACACACACACACGCACGCACGCACGCACGCACGCACGCACGCACAAAGGAAAATTATATAAGAATTCTAGGTGGAAGTTCAATTCACCACACCTAACCTTACGGCTTTGGAGCATATTGTTTATACGTATGATAAATACGTTTTATGCGAAGAGTTTTAAGACATTGTTATTTCTAGAGCGGCAATCCGTCATGTTTTCGCCATGGCGCGCCTTGCGGGGGACAGAACGCCGAGGACCCTAAAGTGACCTTGGCAGCAGGCGGTACCGCCTTTATCAAGTGGCAGCAGAACTACAACCACTATAGCGTTGGGTACTCAGGTAAATACAACAATAGTATGACAGCTACACCTCGATAATCATGGTTTGTTTGTTTGTTTGTTGTTGTTTAACGCCGCACTCAGGAATATTCCAGCTATGTGACGGAGGTCTGTAAATAATCGAGACTGGACCAGACAATCCAGTGACATCATGAGCATCGATCCACATAATTGGGATACGATGACATGCATCAACCAAGTCAGCGAGCCTGACCACCCGATCCCGTTAGTCGCCTCTTACGACAAGCATAGTCGCCTTTTACGGCAAGCATGGGTTGCTGAAGACCTATTCCACCCCGGATCTTCACGGGTCGATAATCATGGCTTTTATATTAATATGTGTTTGGCACAGCTTCGCATAAGTTGTTGACACATGATACACAGACCATACTTGTTATATATAAACTACTGGGCAAAAGAAAACATACACCCGTGTTTGATGGAGGCTAAAACTGAAACAAACACGAAATGGGTATTGATTCTATGGTACATCTTCCCGAGGCAAGCGCGTCCACTAGGCTTTCATCAAAGTAGAAACTAGACTTTGATGTAGGCTAATGGACGCGTTTGCCTCGGGAAGATGTCCACGGAGATGTATTTGATATGGGTGTCATAGTTGTGCTTAGAACCTCAAGTTGCCACGTATCGGCGACTGTTTTCAGTCTAGAAACGTTGTCATAACGTTTGTAATGTTTTGTCAAATGTACACTTCTTTTGCCGGGAAATGTATGTACTTAATCATTTTGTTGATCAATTCTGATCCAGTTTTTCCATTAAATCGTGAGCGTTTATGAACGCGACTCAAATAAAAAACAAATCCAAAAGCACTATGTCATTATACCAGCAAATTATCATATATGTGCTTCGCGGGAGCACGGGTGGCCCAGTCGTCTAAGGCGCCGCGATTCGCTGTGCAGAGTTGCGTCCCTTGGACACGCCAGAAACCTATGATTGTGGGTTCGAATCATGGTTCACCCCGACTATGTTTCTAGGTTTGTCAGCTCCATACCCGTGCTCGTGGGTTTCACCGGAGTGGTAAACGTCTGAGACCTGCATCACTTCGGGCTTTCCTCCCACATTAAGCTGACGCAACTTGATTTAACTATAAAACTGTTAAAAGCGGCGTTAACCCAGCTCACACACTCATTTGTGTTTAGCGACCCAGCAGCAGTTAATTCCACCAAATCAATATCATGTTGTTCACAGTCGCTTCATCTGTATTTACTGATAGCAACTCTTCAGGAAACTGTTTGGAATCATTATTCCCTAAACGTCCATTTGTGTTCTGAGTGGAATATTGTCAATGTGTCTGACACTCTTACAGGTTACATGGATGTCGCCATTGCCCCGCTCTCTTCAAGTGACTTCCAGCTGTTGGCGGTTGTTTCCGACAAATACGTCTACGCACAGGACCACCAGAGAAACTACACTGTTGTCGTGGTGAGTTCGCGTCCCTCACGTACATAGTATACTGATCTTTCCGTCTTACCGACATGTTTTTTGCTAGACGTTCGAATTCTGTCCATTTTGGCATCATATTCAAGGTATATTCGAGAGAGTGAGTGAGTATGGTTTAACGCTGCTTTTAGCACTATTCCAGCACATTGGGGGCATCACAATAAGGCTTCTAACGCTGAAGCCATACAGGAAATGAAACCCGGGCCTTCGGCGTGACGAGAGAACGCTGTGACTACTAAGTGATTTAGATCTTACGCCGCTTTTAGCAAATTCCTTTGGGACACCAGGAAGGGGTTCACACATTTTGGGGAATCGAACCCGGGTTTTCGGCGTGAGGAGCGAACGCTGTAACCACTGGGCTATTGCATATGCACCAGGTATACTTGAGCTTTCGGTTACAATCACTGAGTATGAACTCTTTATACTTTATGATCCATTAATTTGACGTATTTCAGAGTGTACCCGACATGGAGTGTGACCACTGTGTCATTCGAGTTCGCTACAACGCTCATAAACCGGGCGAGAACACGTTTTACCAATGCACAGACGTGCGTGTGACCAAGACCCAAGGGACACAACTCCTCCCTCAGCTTCCGCCTTACGGGAAGAACGAACACATCTGCCTACACAAAGCTCTCCAGCTGATATCCCCTCCACACCGCCGCACTACAGATGGTGTAACCTTTTACGGCATCATGTACAGCCGCAACCAGCCCGACGTCGCCAACTACGTAGGGGTTGATGCTGCGACCGGTGCAATCGCGGACATCACGACGTTGAAATATGGCGTCGGGTTTTCCAGTGGCCGCCTTGGAGACGTCAATGCCAACTACATCGCTGACGGTGTGGCTGCTGTTGACCCTCCTCGAGGGATAACGGTGATGATGAACCATCTGCTGTCATCGTCGCTAGACGCCCCAGCTAGTACAATGCTTGAGCTCGGCACGAACAATGGCACCGTTGTCCGGCATGGGAATGTACTTGGGTTTGACCAAAGACCTTTTAGCGCTGTGGTGTATCAGAGCTTTGGGCAGTATCTCACCTTCAGCATCGAGGAGGAAACAACAAAGCCAGGTAAGGCTAAAGACGAAACATAGGCAATGGAATAATTTGTTCCAGGCCTTGCATTTCGGAAAACAAACATTAACCTCTTCCACTGGTGAGATAAAATATAGAGGTTTACAGGGGAAAATGATCTCAACAGTGGAAGTATCTGGCCTTCGCCAGATAAAATATAGAGGCATGCAGTGAAAAATGATCTCACCAGTGGCGGGTATGGGCCAATGTAAGTTTTGGATGATAAATGTTTTTAGATACAGCTGCAAAACCAGATATATTTTAAAATTAAGACTATGATCCTAAATATCTTCTCCTTTCCTTTAAAAACAAAACAAACAAAAAACATCTTAATTGCAACGATATCATTTTTGTGGCAAACAATTTCTGAAGCACAGTTATTTTTTTCAAACACTTTCGGGGATATTTTTTTCCACGAAAATCCCAGGTCTCCAGTAACCGTGCTTATCATAAAAGTGAACTAAAGTGGATCGGTTGGACAGTGATCACAGTGTAAAACAAAGAACACGGGTGTTCCAAGTATACACCATTTTAGCCTCTACAGCGTCCCTGGAGTATGGGTCCGGGGATGCGTGTTAAATAGACACATCAATAATGTAATATATATTTTATTTGTTTATGGTGTTAGGAAACTACTACTTCGTGGTGGGTGGTCTTGACTGGTCGGGAAATTGGCAGGAGGCTGTGCGCATGCCTGACACAGAGAACACTTACGTCAACTTCCAGTGGGCGGAGTATGACCCTGGTCGCATGATGTTGTTTGTCCTCATGGGCAACGAAAACGACGCAGATGGTCTCTCGGCCAGGATCTACACGTTCGATGTATCCAACAAGTGAGAGGGGCGGTCGGGTAGCCTAGTGGTTAAAGCGTTAACTATGTCACGCCGAAGACCCGCGTTCGAATCCCGACATGGGTAAAGTGTGTGAAGCCCATTTGTGGTGTCCACCGCCGTGATATTGCTGGAATATTGCTAAAAGCGGCGTAAAATCAAACTCATTCACTCACTCCAACAAGTGAGTTCTGGCTCGAGGATACGTCATTGGACTTGTGACGGCAGGGCTTGTCTTGTCTCGTCATTACTGTGTACCGATGATCTTGTTTGAACCAGAACTGTATTATTTATGTAAGCAGGGTATGAATTTACTCTTTTCCATAATCACATGAAGCTGTTTCTGTATTGAGACACATTGGGTTCTTAAGTGAACGCGTCAGAAAGCTAGGAGAAGTGTTTCAGTGACGACACATGGATGGTGATGTGTTTTGGGGTTTTGTGCAGCTGCAGATGTTGAGGGTTTTAGTGGCCGCGCACCGATGGTGATCGCGTATGGAATGGAGGTCTTTGAGCAACAAATTGCGAGCTTCCCTAGTGACTACGTACAAGGAGATATTTTCATATGGGATGTAAGGATTCTGAGTCACAAAGTTGTTGAATGGCCAGGTAACTGATGGAAAAGGAAGTTTTTGAATGCCCAATCACGGGAGGTGAGGTTGTTGAGTGACCAGGTACATTTATGGAAAAGGGGGTGAGGTTCTTGAGTGACCAGGTAAATTATGGAAAAGGAAGTTCTTGAATGCCCAATCACTGGAGGTGAGGTTCTTGAGTGACCAGGTACATTGTGGACAAGGAAGTTCTTGAATGCCCAGTCACTGGAGGTGAGGTTCTTGAGTGACCAGGTACATTGTGGACAAGGAAGTTCTTGAATGCCCAATCACTGGAGGTGAGGTTGTTGAATGACCAGGCACATTATGGAAAAGGGTGACCAGGCACATTGTGGACAAGGAAGTTCTTGAATGCCCAATTAAGAGTGGTGTTTATTGGAGGTTATTTGGTGATAAGGCGCGGAATATGAATAGTCTTGGAAAGCGAGATCCGAACAGACAAGGCTGTCTTCTACACCAGGAATCTTATGTCCAACAATGGATATAAGAAATGTTTTGAAAGATGATGAAAATCTATTTCTAAATACCAATTGATGAAATATGGTTGCAGATCATTCATGTCGCACGCTGAGGTTGACGTAAGCAACTATACCTTTATGTCCATGCAGCTGTACAGCAAAACAGGTGAGCAATGTGTTGAGAAGGTAAGCAGGGCGCTATAGGTATATGATAAGAATAGTGTTGATATCAGTAAACAGAGGGTTAGATATCAAGGTGGGGAAATCCATGGTTGGTTGGTTGTTTTATGCCGCACTCAGCAATATTCCAGCTATATGACGGCGGTCTATATATGAAATCGGGTATGGACCTGACAATCTAGTGATTGATATCATGAGCATCGATAGACGCAATTGGGATCGATGACATGCATGAACCAAGTCAGCCAGCCTGGCTACCCGATCCTGTTAGTCGCCTCTAACGACAAGCATAGTCGCCTTTTACGACAAGCATGGGTTGCTGAAGACCTATTCTAACTCGGATCTTCACGGGTCGAAATCCATAATGGACCACAGCAGACAGAAGGAGAATCCCCCGTGGGTACCCCGGATCATGATGTGGAACGGAATCCCAGCATCCTAAGCTTGACGTACGTGGCGACTAAATGGATCGGGTGGTCACACTCGGTGACGTGGATGCTTGCGTGTCATCGTACCATGACGGCTTGGGACGATGCTCATAGTATAAATCACTAGTTTATCTGATCCAGATTAAAATATTTACAGGTCAGCGTCATAGCGCTACAATATTGTTGTGTGCGGCGTTAAACAAAAAACAAACATGGGGGGAATAATTGTAAACTATGTGAGGTCTTGAGATGAATGGCCGGGTAAAAGAATTGTACGCTTGAAAATTTGATCTGACCAAACAATTACAAACGTTCTCAAAACTATTGTGAGATATTCATTGCAATGGTGTATGTAATTTCACCTTTGGCATGTTTATGTTTAGTTTGTTTCATCTGAGCCACCATCAAACATGGTGTATACTATCTTTTTCGGCAGTTTAGGTTGGATAAATATGTTCAGAACTCTACTAAATTTGTACTGTAATAATCTCTAGATCTATATATTTTCTGTCTCAAAATGACAATAATATTTAGAATATTACCCATAATGGCACTGATATAGGCAAGTAATTTCTGTGATGATCCCTGAGCATTATAACAATTGTTCCGTAGTTGGCATTGTTTACGAAGAGGCCCATAGCAACGGGGCCACATATGAACGCATTGACGCATATGGTTGAAGATGACGTCATCAATTGTTTACAATTCGTGAGTGACACGTCGTAGAAAGAATCGATTAATGGCATTGTGACAAATTATAAATTGTTTGGTTCACGGACGTGTGATGATGACTTCTCCAAGGGCGTTCTCTGTTCCCTGCAGGTCAGCTGTTGGCTGTGTCCCCCGGGTTGTTTAAAGACACCTACCCCGGGTACAGCCTTGTATCTGTCGACCCCTTCACTGGCGCTGTGGTGAAGCTGGCAGAGATCGCACAAGCAGGTAACGTACGATCTCATTAAAATCAGATCTTAGTTCTCGCTATCGCTAAACAAAGATCCGAGGACATCACATTAAGGGTTACGTCAGTACGACCTTTCATCCAACCAATCAGAGCGTCGCTTACTAGATCACGAAAGTGACAGTCGGTATGTGTTTTCTAATCATGCAACCACGAAATATTTAACACCGGGTAATCCGAACGACAGTTACGGTTTTATGATTATATCCATACAATCTAGGCCATCTATAAGAAATTCCAGAATGTTTTTCTTATCGGTTTAAATTTTTTTAATCGAGAATACGTCAAAATATGTTTCGAAGCGTAGTCGCCAGTTTGAAACTAGTGTCGTAAAGCTCGAGAAAGCTGCTTTTTGATTGGCTGATGTCGATTTCTTGTCAGTCATTTCATTGGTTGGTCAAAATTCGCGAAAGTTCGTACTGAAGTGACCCGTAATGGGATGTCCTCAGATCTTTGTTTAGCGGCAGCGAAAACTAAGATCTGATTTTAATGAGATCAGGTAAGGTATGGTGTTATTTCGTGGTGGCACACATGCAAGGGTCTTCACTCGCTCTGGGGGAGTTGCCATCCACATTTCTTCTGTAGCTTCTTAAAGGGCAACCTGACTCGGACAAACTGTCAGTCGAAGTCAGTCAACCACACATCACGTCTTCTGCTAACCTTTTAGGATTTGTATCAATGTATAAGATAAACTTTCCCCCTTATTTCCATTGGCCACTTGTTTGGGATTATACTGGAAATGGGTACCATTCCTTTGATTATGGTTTTGGAAGCATGGAAATTGGGTACCTCATTTACGTTTCCCCGAATCTCCACAGGGAGGTTTGCATTTGAAAGTCCTACACACATACACTGTCGGTGAAACCCGGTTTGGGTGAAATATGCGCTCCTCGTTCCTACGTGTTCTTAGCGTCATGGCTGTGCTAAACGTCGTAACGTTACGATCACTTTGTGACATGAAGCTCAGACACACGTACCATAAAGCGGTCTTATCGTTACGACTGCCGTAAACATGTTAAAGAATGCTTACCAATCGTTACCATCGCCTTAATGCGAAGATCACGTTGTGGATCATGGCCCTCTTGCAGTGACTAACGTAAGACTACGTTAACGTATGAGCGTCATACCGCTGAGATCGCTTTGTGGAACGGGGCCCTGTATAACAGAACTGATTCAGTTTTGTTTTTTATTGGCAGTCAGGTATTTTACAGCGGCCAGTAAACCAGTGGTCGATAGTGTGAGCAACACATTTGTATAAGAAAGGCTGTAAGTACTTTCCTTGGGTCATCACTAAAAATGTTCCCTTTCAGGAATATTCGAAAACTACTACGGGGGTACTATCTTCAACGGGGTGGATCAAGAAAAGGGATTCTTGTATCACATGTTACGGGTAGCCGACGCGGAGGCTGATGTCATCGCCACCATTACCCTCAGCGACATGACGACGACGTTCTCCAAGATCACCAACATCAGACATGTACACAACTTAGCCAGGGGAATCTGAGTGGAATGCAGGGGTGGGGGTGGTGGGGGTGGTGTTGACAAGGAGAGCGGACCTGGAGGGCTGGCTGGACCAAGTTACGAGTGATGCGAACTGATTTACCCACACGCCGTTCTGTGTATCAAGTTGGAAATTATAAGAAACCCATTTCGTAACAGCTGGTGACAATTTATTTAACTGTTTACGGGAGAGAAATGTTAGTCTGAAAATTGCTCGCTAGAAATGGTCTGATAAAATATATTTTTAATTTGCATGCCTTTGATAATAAAATAATCTCGTTGTTACATTAAAATAAACAAATTGTTTTGAAACATTTCTTATTTCGAAATTACGTTTTCTCAATAATTCAAGGAAGGACTGGCACCTATGTGCGGCTACCCGTGAAGATCCATGCTGGTATAGGTCTTCAGCAACCCATGCCTGTCGTAAAAGGCAACTAAGCTTGTCGTAAAAGGCGACTAACGGGGTCGGATGGTCAGGCTCGTTGACTTGGTTGATGCATGTCATCGTATCCCAATTGCGAGGATTGATGCTCATGATGTCAAGCGCTGGATTGTCTGGCCCAGACTCGATTATTAACAGACGGACGTCAAATAGCTGTAATATTGCCGAGTGTGGCATTAAACAAACAAAACATTAAACAAACAAAAAGGCTAGGTGAAATGGGGTTAAACGTCGCGTCCAGATTATTGCACTTATATAGCGACGTGTATGCACGTGTGTGTGTGTGTGTGTGTGTGTGTGTGTGTGTGTGGCTGCTTGTACTTCTCCGGACTGATGCCGATGTATAGTGCTAACCCACTGAGAAACCATGCCGCAGTTTAACATGAATACCCCACTCAGACACAGTATACTGACTCCGAGCCGACCAGTCCTTGTTTTAGCCCCTAAATGCCGAGCGCCAGACAGGGTAACAACAAGTACCATCTTTTAACGTCTTTTGGTATGACGCGGCCGGGGACTGAACCCCGGACCTTCCGCTCTCCGGGCGGACGCTCTACCACGAGACTATGGAGGCGGTTTTGCCCACCTCGAGTCGTTCATGGCAGATGCTTTGCTTTCCGACCTCGCTAAAGAGGTGAGGTGAAATGGGGTTTTACCTCGCGTTCACAGTACTAGTCCGGACTAAGGCCGATTTACTGACCTCGCTAAAGATTTGTTTGTTTGTTGTTTAACTAGGCACTCAGCAATATTCCAGCTTTATGACGGCGGTCTGTAAATAATCGACTCTGGACCAGACAATCCAGTGATTGATATCATGAACATCGACCCACACAATTGGGATAGACGACATGCATAAACCAAGTCAGTTCTTACGACAAGCACAGTCGCCTTTTACGGAAAGCATGGGTTGCTGAAGATCCATTCTATCCCGAATCTTCACGGGTCCAAAGGCCTTGAATGTTGTGACCCTGATCAAACAATATTTGATCCAGAGCCGTACGTAACGTCCATTGAAAACTTCGTAGAAAGAACATCCTCGAATGTGAAAATGTTCTTTAGTATTCCTCCGTAGCGACTTTAGGTTTTGATAGTCATGTTCAGCATTTGATCAGACTTTATCTGGCACGCCACTGGAATACCATACTCGGCTTCCCACCACGCTGGTTGTGTCGGGGCTGTAGATCACGTGATCAGCGGTGAAGCACGGGATATATATGTCTGTGTTTAGGGAATAACAGGGGAGAAGCACGGGATATATATGTCTGTGGTTAGGGAAGAACAGGCAAGAAGCACGGGATATATATGTCTGTGCTTAAGGGAAGTACAGGTGAGAGGTGAGGTGAAATTGGGTTTAATGTCGCGTCCAAGATTATTGCACTTATATAGCGACGTGCATGCACGTGTGTGTGTTTGTGTGGCAGCTTGTACTAGTCCGGACTGATGCCGATTTATAGTGCTAGCTCACTGAGATACCATGCCGCAGTTTAACATGGATACCCCACTCAGACACAGTATACTGACTCCGAGCCGACCAGTCCTTGTTTTAGCCCCTTAATGCCGAGCGCCAGACAGGGTAACAACAAGTACCATCTTTTAACGTCTTTTGGTATGACGCGGCCGGGGATCGAACCCCGAGACCTTCCGCTCTCCGGGCGGACGCTCTACCACTAGACCACAGAGGCGGTCCAGTACAGGTGAGAAGCACGGGATATAGATGTCTGTGTTTAGGGAATAACAGGCAAGAAGCATGGGATATATATGTCTGTGTTTAGGGAATAACAGGCAAGAAGCATGGGATATATATGTCTGTGTTTAGGGAATTACAAGCAAGAAGCACGGGATATATATGTCTGTGCTAAAGGGAACTACAGGTGAGAAGCACGGGATATAGATGTCTGTGTTTAGGGAATAACAGGCGAAAAGCACTGGATATATATGTCTGTGTTTAGGGAATTATAAGCATAAGGGTGTAATTGACTGCGAGGCATTTATCGAAAACAACCATCAACGGCCACCGTGTTGCCCGTTATGAATGACGCGTTGTCGGACGCCAGGAAGGCGATGGTGCTGGCAACTTCACTGACCTCTCCTACACGACCCAGGGCATGTAATTCCTTGCCTTGCTCCATGCTCTGGAAGATGAAGTGACTCCTCAAGCGACATGCATAACAGCGGTGACGTTCTCACTCAGGTCGCTCACTTCAAACAATTGATCATGAGTTAATAAAAATCGTGTCAACAAAATATTCCATAAACATTCCAGTTACATGACGACGATATTTAAATAATCAAGTCTGGACCAGATAAACAAGTGATTGTTGTTGTTATGCGTAACGTTTGTTTGTTGTTTAAAGCCGCACTTAGCAATATGCCGGCTATATGACTGCGGTCTGTAAATAATCGAGTCTGGACCAGACAATCCAGTGATTGATATCATGAGCATCGATCCACGCAAGTTGGGATACGATGACATGCATAAACAAAGTCAGCGAGCCTGGACACCCGATCCCGTTGGTCGCCTCTTACGACAAGCATAGTCGTCTTTCACTGCAAGCATGGGTTGCTGAAGACCTATTCTACCGCGGATCTTCACGGGTCTCATGCGCAACGATCCATGCCGTTGGGTTACGATGACACGCAATCAAGCAAGTTACCGAACCTGCCTATCTACAACGTGAAGTCGTTCCCTTATGACCAGCATCAGGAGGCGACCTCTTGTAGCCCTATTTCCCCCTTGGGTAATTCAATCAATGAGATTATTAAGAATTGCTTTTTTGCGCTTATGGAGGTAAACACGTAAGAGCCGGTTTGCACATTGTAAAAATCCACAACAGGTTTAATAAAGGATTGACTGTGGATTTTGTTTCGGTTCATTGAGGTATGAATCGCAAAACCAATGTTCAAACTTTGTACATTGGTTTTTCATGTGATCACATGTCACATTGCCAATACAATAGGTGAGGTGAGGTGAAATTGGGTTTAACGTCGCGTCCAAGATTATTGCACTTATATAGCGACGTGCATGTACGTGTGTGTGTGTTTGTGTGGCTGCTTGTACTAGTCCGGACTGATGCCGATTTATAGTGCTAGCTCACTGAGATACCATTCCGCAGTTTGACTTGAATACCCCACTCAGACACAGTATACTGACTCCGAGCCGACCAGTCCTTGTTTTAGCCCCTAAATGCCGAGCGCCAGACAGGGTAACAACAAGTACCATCTTTTAACGTCTTTTGGTATGACGCGGCCGGGGACTGAACCCCGGACCTTCCGCTCTCCGGGCGGACGCTCTACCACAAGACCACGGAGGCGGTCAATACAATAGGCATCAACAGGACATGACAATGGTTTCAGCACGCTCAGTTCCACTGCTTCTGACTCCTGGTCAGAAACGCTTCAAGTTTATCATCTCTCGCGAGAATTGACGTTGTTTGGAAGCAGACCCAGCTCATTTTGTTGGGCGATTTGCAGCCACTGGTGGGTCCAGGGATCACCACTGACCAACCAGCTGTCAAAGTACTGGAAACATCTAACGTCTCCTCTGGACATACCAAAAGTCTTTAAGAGTTAGTACTTGTTGTCACCCTGCCTTGTGCTAGGCATTCAGCGGCTAAAACAAGGACTGGTCCGATCGGTATCAATATACTTGTGTCTGAGTGTGTTATCTATGTTAAACTGCGACATGGCATCTATATAGCATTATAATACCAGCATTAGACCAGGCTAGTACTAGCAGCCACACACACTTAGACGCACGTTGCTTTATACTTGAAATAACCTTGAACGCGACTCCATTACATCTAAAAAAAAATCAATCAAGCCACGCCTTGGTAACACCTGATCCTTGACCTTGACATCACACGCTTGGCTCGCAGTATGACGTGGAAAAAAGGCAAGCGATACTATGGCTATTAGTGACCCACAATACTATCTCAGCACTACAACTGTCGTAGGTCTATGTTAAAGTTGGTCTTAGGCAACGATCGCTTTTAGGATCCTTGCAGGGCCCCGTTGCACAACGCGATGATTATCGTACGTCGAGGTTAAGGTACGGGAGTTACGGCCACCTTAGCACTGAGATCGCTTTGAGGAACGAGGCCCTGGATAGAGTTGTACAAAGCGGTCTCAGCGCTAAGGTGATCGTAACTCCCATACCGTAACATAGACTTACGACGGTCGTAACGCTAAGGTTGTCTTGTAGAACGGACTTATTGGGGTGACAACTAAAGGTTATTGAAATTTCTTAAAAGCTTGTTAAACAATCACAACATGCATTTTGTTTTCACAAATAAGTAAACATCTATCACCTGCGTCAACGTTGGCTTTAAGTTGACACGCCACATAACTGAAATATTTTTTCAAAAAGTTTACTTCACATGCACTTGACATTTAAAACAGCTGACCCGATCCCCTAAAAGCTAACATAGCCCACCTCTGATGACCCGTCCACATGCCATCTCCTCCAGGCAAGGGAGTTAACTGACAATAAAAGTCCACTTTTACAGTCAGTTAACTCCCTTACCTCGGGAAGACGTCCACTTAAATATATAGTCCAGTGAAGATCCGGGTTTGAATTGGTCTTAAGCAACTCATGCTTGCGAAAGAGGCGACTAACGGATCGGGTGGACAGGCTCGCTGACTTGGCTGATGGGTGTCATGGTATCCCAATTGCGTAGATCTGATGCTCGTTATGCCAGTCACTGGATTGTCTGGTCTAATTTACAGACCGCCGTCATATAGCTAGAATGCAGCTGAGTGCGGCGCTAAACAAAATACAAACAACATGTTTATGGCCATTTACCTTGGCAGACTCCTCTTCACTCATTCCAGCTCGTCTGAGGATATTAGTGTCAATCAGCCCAGGACTGTTGACAGTAAACGCATGATTAGAACACTTTAAGCTTCTAAAATGACGTTCTCTGTTTTCCTAGTAAATTACCACTGCTTTGTAAGAGCAAATTAAAATAAGTTTTTCTTCTTGATGATGTGATTATGATAATGATGATGATAATGTTGATGCCAGTGGTAAGTTATAATGATAAATAATATTGATGTTTTGATTGTTTGTTGTTTTACGCCGCACTCAGCAATATTCCAGCCATATGAGGGCGGTCTGTAAATAATCGAGTCTGGGCCGGACAATCCAGTGGTTTTACGGCAAGCATGGGTTGCTAAAGAACAATTCTACCGGGGATCTTCACGGGTTTAATATCATGAGCATCGATCCATGCAATTGGAATACGATGACATGCGTCAACCAAGTCAGCGAGCCTGACCATCCGATCCCGTTAGTCGCCTCTTATGACAAGCATAGTCGCCTTTTATTACAAGCATGGGTTGCTGAATGTGATGCAAATGCTAAGCGATGACGATGCTGCAAATGATAATTGATGAAAATAGACTTACTTTACCGAATTAACCCTGACTTGTTTGGGGGCCAAATCTGTGAATAAAGTGACATACTCCAATCTCATCATAATCAGATCTTAGTTCTCTCTACCGATAAACAAAGATCCGAGGACATCCCATTAGGGGTCACGTCAGAACGATCTTTCATCCGACCAATCAGAGCGTCGCTAATCAGATCATGAAAGTGACAGTCGGAATGTGATTTCTAATCATGCAGCCTCGAAAACGTTAAAACGGGGTATTCCGAACGATAGTTACGGGCTTGACTACTGAATCTATACAATCTAGACCATATATTAGCCATTCTAGAACGTTCTTTTGTTCAGGTTTCAAATTTTTAAGCGAGAATTTGTCAAAATATGTTTCGAAGCGTAGTCGCCAATTTGAAATTAGTGCCGTAAAGCACGAGAAAGCAGCCTTCTGATTGGCTAATGTTGACTTCTTGTCAGTCATTTCATTGGTTGGTCAAAATTCGCGAAAGGTCGTTCTGACGTGACCCGTAATGGGATGTCCTCAGATCTTTGTTTAGCGGCAGCGAAAAGTAAGATCTGATTTTAATGAGATCAGGTAAGGTATGGTGTTATTTCGTGGTGGCACACATGCAAGGGTCTTCACTCTCTCTTGGGGAGTTGCCATCCACATTTCTTCTGTAGCTTCTCAAAGGCAACCTGACTCGGACAAACCATCGGACATTCCATTGGTCGGTCAGAGTTTGCGAAAGGTCGGTCTGACGTGACCCGTAATTGTATGTCCTCAGATCTTTGTATAGCGGCAACGAGAAGTAGGATCTGATTTGAATGAGATTGCGACATACTCTTAATTTCAAGCTACGAAAATGTTAGCACAATTCTCCACAACACTGTATTAAAGCATGAGTACTCACCAAGGGCTACACACCTGGTCAGCTGATCAAGGGCACCCTTTGACATGCAGTAGATCAAGTTATTAGGTAACTGAAACAGGTTGTTGTAAATTAGTATGTACTATTAAGTGTCACTGTAAGCGATATAACATCACAAATAGTAAAATGATAAAGGGAATTGATCCTAGTTCCTTTACGTGAACACCATAACCACTGTGCCTGCTACATCTGGCTTTTGTGGGAACATTAACAACTGAAGTGTTCTTGCAATAGCTAAAACAAGGCCCGGGGTAGAACAGGTCTTCAGCAACCCATGCTTGCCGTAAAAGGCGACTATGCTTGTCGTAAGGGGCGACTAACGGGATCAGATGGTCAGACTCGCTGACTTGGTTGATTCATGTCATTGAACCCAATTGGGTGGATCGATGCTGATGATGTCAATCACTGGATTGTCTGGTCCAGACTCGATTATTTACAGACCGCCGTCATATAGCTGTTATATTGCTGAGTGCGGCGTTAAACAACGAACAAACAAAACTTTACTCTAAATGTATGAACAGAACACAAGAGAACACAATGCCACCTACCGCACGTTGTCCTGCCACACTGGAGACGTTGACAATGTTGCCCTTTGTCTTCAGTAGGTGCGGCACACACAGCATTGTTATATGGTAGACAGACCTTTAAACGGGGAGCAATCAACAAGTGAGTGCCTGCACGACTAAGAGCCATTTATTTCATATATTTCAATGTGTGAATTAAAATTAATACTCATCTGAGTGAAATTTGAATCTGCTAATTACAAGCCTCAAAGCTTTTACGACCTGGTTTATTTTTTGGGAGCAAAATAAAGACTTAAGATTGATAGCGTACGGAAGTCTATGAAGGCCACGACATTTTTTCTTGTCAAATAAGAAATTGAATTTTCAAGACAAAAAAACCCCAAACTCTGTGGCCCTAATGGGATTCCGTAAAATGAGGTGGTTACACCCGGAACACCTATCAATATTGGGGAGGGCGGATGTGACAGAGGCGAGGCGAGTGAGTTGTATGCCTATTGTGAAACCCATAATCATGTGTTTGGTAATATGAGGGCAGCGATAATGTTGGCTAAGTTCTCGCTACTGCTGGGGGCACGGGTGGCCCGGTCGTCTAAGGCGCCGCGATTCGCTGTGCAGAGTTGCGTCCCTTGGGCACGCCAGAAACCTATGATTGTGGTTTCGAATCCCGGTTCGCTCCAATTATGTTTCAAGGTTTGTACCATACCCGTGCTCGTGGGTTTCACCGAGGCGGTAAACGTTTCAGACCTGCATCACTTCGGGCTTTCCTCACACATCATGCTGACACGCCACGATAAAACTGGAATACTGTTAAAAGCGGCGTTAAACCCAACTCACTCACTTACTCTCGCTACTCCTTAACAAATAGCTGAGGGCATCCATGACGGGTCACGTCAGAACCTTCCTATTATTTACAGCACTGTATTCTTACCTGACATTGGTGTTGATTATCTTGTCGAACCGTTCTAAACTTGATGTTTCAATAGAGCTAGGATAATATATCCCAGCATTGTTGACCTGAATAGAAATTGCAATTTATTCACAAAAGAACTTACGTCTGAAAAATATTTAGTCTTGGTAAAAACTATTTTTTTAATGAATCACCCAAGGAGAGTACTTTGAGCAGGTGTCAAAATTCACAATGAGCTGAATGTGCCAGTAAAACCCCAATTGGTACAACTTGCTGACATGTTTCACTTTCGTCAGTCTGAGAGTGTGAGTATATATATGATGCTGGAAGACTCTGTATCCTGACGGGATGAATATGGCACCAAAACCCACGGCTAGGTACCCACGGTCAGCCAGGATTGGCTACACAGGGTAAGCACCTGATCCTAATATGTCCTACACCAAGCTCGGGTACTCGGAACCTATTCTGCCCTTGTTCTCTGACCACAAGGCTATCCAAGGGTAAGAACTGTCGCAAAGATAGATGTCACGGTGGAGTTCCGTACATGATTAATGCACTTATATAGTGCAGAAAGTAATAAATCCGTCGCCAGGGCAACCAGCTACAGTTGGCAATGGCATGCACGGCTATCCAAGCCTTCGAGACACGGCGACACACAATAGGGCTGGTTTGGTTTTCGACTAAAGCCCGGATCAACTTAGGCAGCTCTTCGAGTGAAGCCTCACGTTCGGTACAATTGGTCTCTAGAGAAAGCCTAGCGGCACAGTTGGACTACAGTGAAAGCCGCATGGCACACTTGGACTACAGTGAAAGCCGCATGGCACAGTTGGACTCCAGTGAGAGCCGCATGGCACAGTTGGACTCCAGTGAAAGCCGCATGGCACAGTTGGACTCCAGTGAAAGCCACATGGCACAGTTGGACTCCAGTGAAAGCCGCATGGCACACTTGGACTCCAGTGAAAGCCGCATGGCACAGTTGGACTCCAGTGAAAGCCGCATGGCACAGTTGGACTCCAGTGAAAGCCGCATGGCACAGTTGGACTCCAGTGAAAGCCTTGCGGGGCACTGGTGTACCTCCTGGTGATGTGAGCAGCTTGTCCCCCCCAAAAAGAGGAAAACTGTAGTGGGGTTCGGGGGTATGCTCCCCCGACACCCCCACCCCCCCTGAAATCTTTTAAACATTTGATTGAATTTTAAGCAATTTCGTGCAGTTTCGACAAATAAATAATTTATGTAAAACTTATATTGCACTTATAAAGTGTTCAATTCTACCATCACTTCTGGAAGGGCTTGAATATTTTGGGTCCATGAAGGTTTCAAATCGCAATAACATGCCTCTGACTCGGCCACATCACTGGCTTTACTTCAGCGGGCAAGACTGAAGTTCCAATGCCTTGCTTCATGACGCTACATGTTAGGAAACAGTGCCAGTTGCAGGATTCACGTATATTTGACAAAGAATATTCGGCACTGGACATCATAATCATAATAATAAAAGCGAAAAAAAACCATTTCCATGCTCATAAGAAATCTTATTGTTAAAGGCGTGAATTAAATTACGTTTATAAATAAAAATCAATTTTTGTTCCCGATTGTTTCCATAGTCACGTTAAAAGGTGTTCGCGAAAGCGTGAGATCTGCTACTGACCAATATGTCCAGTCTGCCTGCAGCTGCGATGGCTTCGTCCACGATACGCTGTGTGTCCTCTTCCTTAGTCAGGTCACCAATCAGGAGGACGGGCTGTGGGTGATATACAGTCAAGTCCCGTTAATCCGACATCGATGGTTGCATTTGATTATGTCGGATTAACGAGTATGTCGGATAAAAGAAATTAAGTAGTATCAACGTTCGTGATCGAAAATCGGACAACTACAGGATAGATAAGGATTCAAACACGTAATAAAAAATATAAAATAAATATTCATATTGTTATGTTACATTGTTGGCGGAATATGTTTTCTTATCATGCAACCTCTAAAGTTTAATTTGTAAGAACTCACTTTATAGTGGGATCCCCGTACACCAAATGTGCTCTACACAGTATTTCATGGGGCCCGTGAAGATCCGGGGTAGAATAGGTCTTCAGCAACCCATACTTGCCGGAAAAAGCGACTATGCTTGTCGTATGCGGCGTCAAACAACAAACAAACAAACAAACAAACAGTGGGTCATGGGATTTACATGTAACCTTATATCATTCTTGAATCCCTGGTCACCTAAAATGTTCTACGCAGTAGTTCATGGGTATTCCAATGTGTTAATGACATTCACCTTATATAAATATACTTATATCTCATATTACCTTATATGTTCGTTTGTTTGTTGTTTAACGCCGCACTCAGTAATATTCCAGCTGTATGATGGCGGTCTGTAAATAATCGAGTCTGGACCAGACAGTCCAGTGATTGACATCATTAGCATCGATCCACGCAATTGGGATACGATGACATGCATCAACCAAGTCAGCGAGCCTGACTACCCGATCCCGTTAGTCGCCTCTTACGACAAGCATAGTCGCCTTTTACGGCAAGCATGGGTTGCTGAAGACCTATGTCTTGGGTATATGTTTCGATGCAAGACATGTAAATTCAAAATTCTTTGACGAAGAACTTGAAATCATACGCGCATTCTGATTGGTTTGTCGTATTTTCGCACGTAACATTCATCGATAGGGGGACGAGTCTTCTTGCAGGATACGGAAAGTGGCGAGTGTTGACGAATGCAACTGCCTCTTCCGTGTCAGACTTTAACGAACCGGAACAAATAAAAAATGTCAGGGAGAGGGCGGCTGTTGAATGGTCATTAACCTCCAGATTCAAACATCAGTTTCCCGATAACGAGTGAGTATGGTTTTACGCCGCTTTAAGCAATATTCCAGCAATATCACGACGGGGGACACCAGAAATGGGCTTCACACATTGTAACCATGTCGGGAATCGAACCCGGGCCTTCAGCGTGACCAGCGAATGTTTTAACCAGTACGCTAACCCATCGCCCCTCGATAACGAGAAGACACAGCTGGAAAAATGCGAGTTAGAAATGAAACCGGAGACAGAAATTTGTGGAACGCAGGCGAGGAAACAAAACCGGGCGAGCGAGCGAGACTGCGCGTTTGCTGTTTCATTCCTCCGCGGCATTCAGTCTCGAGGGCGGTTTACGCGATGCCTATGCATGAATTTTGCAATAGCGTCCTGTGCATCACGATACAGGTTAGCAGAAAGGGAATATGAGACTCCGCGACGTTCCGTAATGGTTAAACGAGCCCGCTTCGGTGGGCGTGGCTTAATGTTTTACATTCATAGGGACATGAACGCAATAACAAGTTCAGCTATTCAGCCAAAATATAATTATTGTGTTAATGTTCTTCAACCTTATATTTGGGTAGCCTAGTCACCTGACATGTCGTACACAGAACATGGGTATCCCAGCGTGTTAATGACCTTCACCTTATACTTGGAGTCCTGGCTGCACTGCTCTGCTGTCTTCTTCAGGTTTTCCTCATTTCTCCCCGTGATGATGACACGGGCTCCCAGCTGAGAAAACAATATGGCTGTGCCAGCTCCAATACCTGAACTGGCACCTGAAAATTGTTTGTTAAGATTATTGTTCATGTCATCAGCCAAACCACATGGTGACATTGGCCTTGCCGTTTGTGAAAAAGCCCCAGTACAATGCACATGCAATCTTTGTCATACATAACAGAAGGCTTGCTCATATTTTTATATAAAAGATAAGTCACCTGTAAATTAAAATAGAAAACATTTATACGTGAAGCATTATAAGTCGCAGGCAGATATTATTGCATTGCGAGAACTATTTTCAAAATAGTGAGTGAGTGATTATGGTTTTACGCCGCTTTTAGCAATATTCCAGCAATATCACGGCGGGGGACACCTGAAATGGGCTTCACACATTGTACCCATATGCATGACTGGAATCGAACCGTGGTCTTCGGCGTGACGAGCGAACGCTTTAACCACAAGGCTGTGATCAAACTCTTCGGCTTAAACAATCCCAGGGTATTCAGAAGAGGGGTAAAGACGATATATATTATTATAGCTGTGTCTAAGAGCAAGAAATATTCACTGCACTTATAACGAGGGCGGATTGAGTGCGGATTTCAGGTTTTCTGCACATTGAAATAATAAAAGCCGTGCAACTCGCGACTGTTTATGTTGGATATGGGTGCAGCGCAGTCTCCGCGCAGACGCTGTCATAAGAACTTAAACAAATATCAAATTATAGAAACTTGCATTATAAAGCTGACTTTGGTGTTTCTGTCGCTCTATATGACAGGTAAAACACTTCTTGCTTGTGGTTGAAAACCAAAACACCCGGAGTCAAGAATGATATAGCTCAGGACTGAGGCCCATTCCGCTACCTGCAGTTTCAAATAAAACCTAAATAGTGGAACATGCATTTGTTCGCTGCTCTTGGTATTGTTTTAGCTGGGTTATTGTGGGAACTTGCAGAAGGTATACGTTAGTGCTTCTTCCCGAGGCAGGTGAGTTAAATGACTATATATAAAAGAACAAGGCTGGTATTATAGAGTTACATTTTTTTATCTGGACTAACGAGTCTATGCACAGACACGAAATCGAAATCCGACTCGTAAACTGTCATGCAGATTTCGATCGAGTGTAGGATTGCAAAGCATGTGCACCGCCAAACTCGTTGTCAGCAGATATTCTCCAAATCTTTTCATGTTTTTAATCAAGGTGCGTACGTAATTTGGTGCACTTCAAGTTGTAAGACCCATTTTATCACAAAATAGATCTTGATTATCGATCAGGACATCTTGACTGGTCGACGCCATTTTGTTTGAAACAAATGCAAGTGATTTCGAGAGGTGGAATCTGATTGGTCTTTAGGACAGGCATAGAAGGGACAAAACCCGTAATAGCCACTGGAATCTAGTTCGGTAAGGGTGGAAGCTGGACTTTTAAAGTCAGTCAACTCTTTTGCCTCGGGGAGATTACGTGAGTGCAGCCAAGTGTGGTTGGTTTCATTATTCCTATATTTGGATACCACGAAGCCAGACTGAACCAAACCACAAATATAATAAAAATGGAGTTTGGAGTGTATGCCCATGGATAGAGAGGTCTTTAGTCTTACACCAAACAATATGATTCAGGATGACACAAATATATATTAAACTGGCAGAAACTCCAACCCTCATAGGCTCAATTACCAAAGACAACCATCTACTGGTATCAAAAAGTATAAATGCCTACCATTATATTCCTAGGTTAAGTTCAGTATGGCTTTGAAAACGAAAATGTGATTAAAAATAAATCTAGTCATGCAGATCATATATATTCATAAGTTGTGGTTTATTGTACTGATGGTTCAATAAAATTGTCTGTTTTTTTAAATGATGTAACTTGGGGATAGTTCTCTTTGGCATTATTTTCTAATCATTATTACATAACAGGAGCCATACTGAACATTCATAATACTAGATTACCAGTGTAAATAATCTCTTTTCTCAAACATTCACAGAGAATTTTGTACGAAACATAAAGGGTTGTCAGTTTGTTGCCATGGATACGTTTGAAAGTTACTTCTTTCAGGCATAACAGTTGCTGATGCCTCAAAATGATGTCGAGGTTTGGTTCTACATGGCTCATGATATCCATTTATTGCCTGTATTCAGCACATTAACTCGATATTGTTCAATGTGTGTCATATATACACTCCCGAGACAGTGTGGACCGCCTCCGTGGTCTAGAGGTAGAGCGTCCGCCCGGAGAGCGGAAGGTCCGGGGTTCGAAAAGACGTTAAAAGATGGTACTTGTTGTTACCCTGCCTGGCGGTCGGCATTAAGGGGCTAAAACAAGGACTGGTCGGCTTGGAGTCAGTATACTGTGTCTGAGTGGGGTATTCATGTTAAACTGCCGCATGGTATCTCAGTGGGCTATAAATCGGCATCAGTCCGGACTAGTACAAGCAGCCACAAACACGCACACACACACATGCATGCACGTCACTATACAAGTGCAATAATCTTGGACGCGACGTTAAACCCAATTTCACCTCACATCACCGAGACAGTGTGAGCAAAGAGACGTCTCTCCCAGCTAACAATTTCACGTTGTGACAACGTTGTGATAACGTTGTGTTTGCATTGCGGTAACGTTGGGGATGTAGAGTACTCTACCGGGGCCGTATACTACTATAACGAGCTATATGTGCACTCAAAATATCTTGTCTCCGTGTCTTATTATAAGTGTCCGTGAAAAGATAAGGTACAATGATCAATAGAACAATATGAATCCCTCATCCCTGCACCCTTTAGAAATATCTGCACCCACCGGAAGCGTGAAAGCGGGGTGTTTTGATGCGAAAAGGTCGTGGCGAAGAAAAAAATGTTTGAAATTTCATGTATATCTGCATTCCCTCTTTCAGGAAACCTGTATCATCCCTGTAAAACTCCATTATGATATATCATATACACGATTGTCGCTCAGTCAATGAAAGAAAATTCATATTCAAAATAACTTGGATCGGAAATCTGTGGTCAGTTTTAGAGTATTACTGGGATCGTGAACAAAGGTTCTCGCTTCTTCAACTCCTAAGGTTCCACTCTGGCTGTTGAAAACGCAGAAAGTCTAGCTAAGCGGGGTTAAGTGGAGGTCAAACGTAATATGGCAGAATATGAAAAATCAAAAGATGCCTAAAACGCAAAGTAAATTCCCCAGGGAGCTGAGAATGAAAATCGAATGCACACTGATCCAGTGACCGGATCACATGCCATACATTCAACTACAGAGTAAAAAGAAGTATACTAAATTAGCAATATTTAAAAGTCGGACCAATCGTTTGTGCGTTCTGTTTCAAATAAATAAAGCGACAAAACCCTTTCCATATCCAATAGAAATCTCTGCATGAAGCAAGCGTCGATTGTACGATTCCGACAGACACAATGTATAAAACACTGGGATCAGCGAACACGGGGGAACATTGAACTGATAAGCCTTGTGATTTCAGATATGCAAAATTGAAGATGGACGAGTGTTGAATGTTAAGGTTGAATTTAATTTAAACAATTGAAATAATTTAAATAATTTTTCAAATAAATGGAAAATAATCCAACAAGAGCGTTTTTCTACGTGGCCTAAAAATGAATAATGTCCGTATCACAGCTACAAAAAAGTCAAGTCTCTCGAGCTCTTATCTCTGAGGCATGTGCTGCATGGTGTCACGTCACGCGACTCTGCTCTCAAAATACCTTGTGCAAGTTCTGAGCAAAGGAAGTCGCAGTTGCACACTGCGATGGGTGGAGACGGATCGAGGTTTTTGTTTGAAAAAAGGGTGTGGTGGGTGTGGGGGGTCCACTTGGGCCGCCTTATGTAAACTAAAATCAAATTTACTTAAACAACGAAATCAACACGCTATCAGAACTCCCTCCCTGCACCAGGCACTGATGACTTTTGTAAAATTGATATTTTATCCCTGTAATCTAAGCAGACACCATATATACACAGTCCTAGATCACGTACCTGTCACAAGCGCAACTTTGTCATCGAGTCTCCCAATACACGCCATTTCTCCTGTCAATGAATAAGTAGTCTGACACAAAGAACTGCAGCCAGGACAATGACCTCCTTTTCACCAGTTAACAGAATGAGGCAATAGGCACAAGGGACGTTACTCTCAATCCTCGTCATTGGTAAAATTGCAGTTTGCGTTCAAACCAAGCTCAGTGAATACCACTGCTGAGTGGTAAGAGAGTGAGTAAGTGAGTGAGTTGGATTTATCGCCGCTTTTGACAGTATTCCAGTTATATCGCGGAGCGTCAGCTTAAAGTGGGAGGAAAGCCCGAAGTAATGCAGGTCTCAGATGTTTACCACTTTGGTGAAACCCACGAGCACGGGTGTGGTGCTGACAAACCTAGAAACATAATCGGGGCGACCCGGATTCGAACCCACAATCATATGTTTCTGGCGTTCCCAAGGGACGTAACTCTGCACAGCGAAACGCGGCGCCTTATACGACTGGGCCACCTGAGCCCCCCACTGCTGAAGCCTTTTGTAGTTTTCGGCATTTGATCTTTTTTTTTCATTTCGTAGGAATTATAGAATCAATTTCTCAAATCCAAATGTTAACATTTCCCTTGAATTTCTTTTACAGGAATAACATATATTTTACGAAATTGATGCTGGTGTCCATCTTCCAGAGGCAAGTGAGTTAACCAACTATAAAAGTCCAGTTTCCACCCTTGCCAAACTCGGCTGGAATTTTTAAGCTCGATAGTAGCGCCACCCGTGACTATTACGAGCTATGTCCCTGCTATGTCCCTCCTGTTGACCAATCAGATTCCACCTCTGATCTCAGTTTGGACTTGCCTCGGGAAGATGTTGCGCTGCGATCGCTTTGTGGTATGAACCCTGCACCAGAAAGTTTACAAACACGTGACAGTACCCTATGGCGTAATATGCGAACATTTGTTTAAGAAATAAAGTTTGCTCTTTCCCCATTTGTACTGTAATAAAGCATAGTTTTGCCCTGAACTATTGTAGTTAAAGTAAGAGGACGCTTGTGTTATAATAGTTCAGGGCCCTGTTCCACAAAGCGATCCTAGCGCTAAGACGATCGTAACTCCCATTTTTTAATAAAGGCTTAGGGCAGTCATAGCTCTGCGGTCGCTTTGTGGAACGGGGCCCAGGACAATAGCGGCCGTTTCGTTAACTGCAGTATAAGTTGCTCATTCCTTTGTCCAGAGACAGACATTTAAGTTAAAGGCACCAATGCCTGCCTCACACAGTTTTGTGACTGCTATGGCACGGACAAAGTGGATTAAATATGTTTGTGATAAGCCCGCGGCATGTGAGATGGTTGACATCTCCCCATCTTCCTTCCCACGTAATAATATTCAAATATTTTAGTTCATACTAGTCTGAAGTACCGGTCTAGATCCGGTCTAGAATAGGTTCCCTCTCATTCATATTTGTCTTAAGCAACCGTGAAGATCCGGGCTAGAATAGGTTTTCTCTCATTCATATCTGTCTTAAGCAAACATGAAGATCCGGGCTAGGATAGGTTCCCTCTCATTCATATCTGTCTTAAGCAACCGTGAAGATCCGGGCTAGAAAAGGTTTCCTCATTCATATGTGTCTTAAGCAACCGTGAAGATCCGGGCTAGGATAGGTTTCCCCTCATTCATATGTGTCTTAAGCAACCGTGAAGATCCGGGCTAGGATAGGTTTCCCCTCATTCATATGTGTCTTAAGCAACCGTGAAGATCCGGGCTAGAAAAGGTTTCCTCATTCATATGTGTCTTAAGCAACCGTGAAGATCCGGGCTAGGATAGGTTTATTCTCATTCATATGTGTCTTAAGCAACCGTGAAGATCCGGGCTAGAAAAGGTTTCCTCATTCATATTTGTCTTAAGCAACCGTGAAGATCCGGGCTAGGATAGGTTTATTCTCATTCATATGTGTCTTAAGCAACCGTGAAGATCCGGGCTAGAAAAGGTTTCCTCATTCATATGTGTCTTAAGCAACCGTGAAGATCCGGGCTAGGATAGGTTTATTCTCATTCATATGTGTCTTAAGCAACCGTGAAGATCCGGGCTAGAAAAGGTTTCCTCATTCATATGTGTCTTAAGCAACCGTGAAGATCCGGGCTAGAATAGATCCTCAGGCACGCCAACTTGGTGGATGCATGTCATCGGATCCCAACTGTGCGGATCGATTCTCATGATATCAATCACTTGATAATATGGTCCAAACTAGATGATTTACAGACCGCTGTCATATAGCTGGAATATTGCTGAGTGCGCCAGTAAACAAGAAACAAACAAACCTGTCTGAAGAGCTTCCTAAAATGAGGATTAGATCAACTGGCCACCGAAGTGGCTGACTGCTACCATTGTAACCCTACAGCGTGGTACGTTTTAATCTATCTTCAGAGGACCCTCGAATAACTGGGCGTGACTGAATAAGCCGAATGTGAGATTGGGAACTTTGATCATAACATCAATCGCTGGTTTGCCTGCTCCAGACTCTATTACTTACAGGCCGCCGTTATAGAGCTAGAATATTGCGGACTGATGGCCAGTGATTGATATTATGAGCATCGTTTCCCTGTGACATGCAATCAACCAGGTCATCCAGCCTGTCCACCCAATCCATTATATTCCCTCTTACGACCAGCTAGTACTGCTACAGCTGGAGACCAATGCCTTACCCGGACTTCCCCCGTGCCCGTAGTTTTGTAATAGAAATAGCCAATACATGTGGACAGACAGAGCAGAGCAGGACAAAGCAAGCGTTCAGACGACAAGGTCGCATCCGTCGTGTTCTCATGCGGTCCTCGCTTACTGGACATGTGCTAGACTCCCTGAAAGCCTTGCTTGTCTTCAAAGACGACTAAAATGGATTGTATGTTCGGATAGAAGAAGGAGAAGAAGAAGAATATTTATTGTACAAAACACCCACAGGGGGTGGATATGTGGGGATATGTGACTTGGCGGATTAAGGGTCGTCGTGCCCTGATGGCTCGGTTCATTTGCTCATACTCACCGTCACTGGTGTGTGGGTCTTGACTCACTATGTACAGGCCCTCTGTTAGGTGGATTCCGAGAAGGTAACTGGCAAGACATGACCTACTTCTGACAGTTCTGATGCTTGAAGACCCGTGAAGATCCACGGTAGAATAGGTCTTCAGCAACCCATGCTTGCCGAAAAAGGCGACTATGCTTGCTGTAAGAGGCGACTTACGGGATCGGGGGGGCAGGCTCGCTGACTTGGTTGAATGTCATCGTATCCCAATTGCGTGGATCGATGCTCGTGATGTCAATCACAGGATTGTCTGGGCCAGACTCGATTATTTACAGGCGAAGAATATAGTTGCCTCTTACGGCTAGCATGGGTTGCTGAAGACCTATTCTCTATCCATATCTAGTAGAATAACTTGTTGCAGAGGCATGATGTTCAGAAACAGCTGGATTACGGTTTTGCTGTTACTGTATATAGCTGTGAAAAGTCAACACAAAATCTTTGTTTACAGCATGTGACTGAATTTGACAGATGGATATTAAGTCATTGTATAATTTATTTTCAGTGCAAAACAAAACTGATTAAAACAAATAAAACCTTCCTCACTGATTTCTGATCTGAGTAAGTATATCACAGGCCTGAAATTACAAATGGTAAGTCATTATGTTGGTAGTGTTGTGACGTAGAAAACCCGATGATGAACGAAGAGCAGACCCCAAGTTAGAGCGTTTGTTGCGCGCCGCTCTTGTCTTGTTGCCACCATAACTTTCGAACCAGAAACTGATCTCGGAAATCTGAGTTTTGACCGAGACCGACGTTTTGTGGTTGAAGTCTCTTAATTCATTGACAAATAGAGTGGGTTGGACCAGCAACACACAGAGTGAAGAAAAGCTGTTAACGACGAACATCTTCTTGTGATTGCTGGGGGAACTACGGTAAAGGTCCAAGGGCCCTTGGGTACTGACACTGTACCTCTCGCACATCCCAGATTGTCAGAACCGAAGAAAGAGGGCATATGTAGTTCAGGGAAGGTACGTCAGTCCAGGTGACGGCTACGACTAATCCGTGATATACCTGTGAAGGTTCCGGGGTAGAGTAGGTCTTCAGCAACCCATGCTTGCCGTAAAAGGGGACTATGCTTGTCGTAAAAGGCGACTAACGGGATCGGGTGGTCAGGCTCGCTGACTTGGTTGATGCATGTCATCGATCCCTAATGCGTGGATCGATGTTCTTGCTATTAATCACTGGATTGTCTGGTCCAGACTCGACTATTTACAGACCGCCGTCATATAGCTGGAATGTTGCTGAGTGCGGCCATAAACAACAAACCAACCAACCAACCTACCAACTTATCTGGAACACCCAAACGACCCTACAAATTACCATAATTAACATCGTTTAAATTGGACATAAGCGCGGTGACCACATAAGCCATGTCAAAATAGAAGCCTTTGTGGGGAATACACCTACCTGAAATAGTCACAACTCAGTGATGATTGAGTTAAGATTTAAACTCACCTATTTCAGCCATAACGTGACTTGATCACCTCTCAATAAACTTAATATGTCCACCTTGTAGTGAGTGAGTTGGGGATAATGCCGCTTTCAACAGTATTCCAGTAATATCACTGCTTGTCAGCTCAATGTGGGAGGAAAGCCCGAAGTGATGCAGGTCTCAGACGTTTACCACTTCTGTACCGACGAATCTAGAAACATAATCGGGGCGAACCAGGATTCAAACCCACAATCATAGGTTTCTGGCGTGCCCAAGGGACGCAACTCTGCACAGCTAATTGCGGTGCCTTAGAGGACTGGGCCATGCCGCCTGTCCACCTTGTAGCATCATGGACATCCTCGTCACCTGTGTGATCTAAGATTGGGATTCTTCTGGTGTTGAACATAATATATGTTACAGTCAATGTGTAAATGTGTGTTACTTATTCAATTTATAAATACCAAAACAATTCAGTCATATATACAATATTTTTTCCCCAATATAACATCATGATAATGAATTCCAAACATTTTTATGTTCTATTTCATCACCCAGTGACTGCAAATGGTATGATTAAAAGAACACGAAAGTCAATGTTTATTTTTTTTTTAAATGGCATCTAATACCAGCATAATACCAGGATAAGTAGACTATTGTGATCAGGTCTCTGTTTTGTGAGGTTTCTAAGCCCTTTTGAACTCCTTAATAACTTTTATTCAATCTGACAGAATTATTTTTCATAAACTGACTTAATTATTTTTGGTTATATATATATACATATATATGTTTGATGCCGTTAGTGGCATTTACAAAATTAGGCACTGATGTGTGTGGCAAATAGAATAATATTTCAAGAAAAACAACACTTTGCAACAGTTTCATGATAAATGAGATTTATATCCCAAATAAAGGTCACATGGTATTATTATATGCAGGCTGTGCACAGATATTACAAATAACATCCCAAATGAATTGTCTGAATAAATAAAAAGTGATTCCATGGCATTTGATTGACTTACCAAGCAATGTCCATAAACCTAAAAAAAGAAAAAGGCCACACCCATTAACAGATAACTGTTTTCTGATTGGTTGATAACAGAATGGGCAGGGCTTGTGTTGCATTATTGTGCTGATCAACGTCATGGACTTTGTATGGCTGTTTATAGTTTCTTTGTTTTATTGATTAAATAAGCAGACTGGGAAGTTATTATCATTGACTTAAGTATTTATATGGATTGACTTCAAAATTATTTTGTGTTTACTGGGTAAACGGTAAAAAGTATTGAAATCAATTCTTTAAATAAATTCTAAAAATATAAACAATAAACATTATTTTTATATCAACAAAACAAGCAACAAACTAGATAAAAAAAGGATCACTCTTAGAAACAATACATTTGATAAAAAAAGTTGATAATAATCATCCTATATAATTCTATAATCACTGGATTGTTAAACACAAGAAATATCTGCGACACCACCTCAAAGTTAATCGGTTGGTATAGGAAATAGTTCTGTCATTTGAGTTTGTTTACCTATCAATTCTAAGGAAACAAAAAAATACCTAAATAATTTCCTAGAAAGAATTTACAGGTCTTGTGAAACTCTTGCAAGTTGTCAGTCAGACAAGAAGTAACAGAGATTCTTTCTTTGCCCCAGACAAGTAAAGCTGTCACAACAAGACAGGCAATACCCACCCACAGGGGATGAGACAGCTGTTGTCCATGTCTTCTACAAATGTAGGTTATAAATAAACATAAAATATGGTACCTATCATTAACCAGTCCCAGACGAATTCTGTGATCTCAAAACATGAGTTTTATTAATATTTTTAGGGGAATTGGTTGTTTTTACCACAGATTTACTGCAGAATTTACAAATTTTAGCCACAGAATTTTGGTTATTTTATCTCAGAATTTGATAATTGTATTGCAGAATTCGCCTGTGACTGATATAGTGTATCCATATATCTCACGTACACATCATGAATCACATACCACTGACAACAAAATGGCTGTCAAAACCAGTTAAACTGTGTGATTGAGCTAATTAATTGTCAGGGTAGTACTAAGGTCATAATGCAGCCCTCTAAGTTCGATTTTTATTCGGGAGTAAGTGGCTCCTAACATGAATATCTTAGGAGCCAAACCTAAGTTTGGGGGAGCCAATCTTTTTCCCCAAGGAGCCAGACTGAGAGTCTGAGATGGGGCATATTTCACTTGAGGTAGGTATGTTCACCCAGGTTTCATTGTGTGAAATCTAAAGATGGGTATTCAACTGTAATAGACATGTACACTAAATAATAATGTAAATATTTCCTTTTTGTACAATATCAGTAAGTTCATGCAAATGCAACAGGGTACAAAATAACAGCTATTTATGAAAACCCTGTAATTGTATTAACCATACATAAGAAACAATATGATATATAACCCTTATAAATAATTATGTATACAAGCCTTCCAGATCTCTCCGTTATTATCATTAAACATATTTTATTGTCCAAAAAGACAAAGGGATTGGGCACAAGATAAGTCCCGGAAACCCGTCTCAAAACCTTTGGTCAGAGACCTTTCCAGTTCTGCGCTTCCCCGCTATGGAACAAACTACCATCTGATCTTAAGCTGTCGCCATCGCTTTCATCCTTTAAGGCTCATCTAAAAACACATCTTTTCACACAACACTATCAACTCTACTCCCCTTTCATCGGCATTATTTGCTAAAACTATGTAGCGCCGTGAGCATTAACTTGGTGAATGGAATCTGGCGCAGTACAAATGGATTTATTATTATTATTTTATTATTATTATTATACGACATTGGCCATGCAAACACGAGTTCATAAACAACATCTCAAACAGATATTGTCACCATTTATGTTTACTTAGGTTTAGGTCGCCAAGACGTGAGCAGTAGATAGATTTAGGTTGCAATCATAGATATAAGTTGGATTTGCGACCAACATGGCCGCTACTTAGAGCACTGTTATGTGAGACACTAATCCTCAAACCCAGGCATATATGTTGTGTGGGGAATACAACTTAATTTCCAGGCCATTTATCTGGACACATGACGTGACGACCACCATCCACAGCCACCGTGTTGCCGGTCATGAATGATGCACTGTCAGAGGCCAGGAAGGCGATGAGTTTGGCCACTTCACTGACCTCTCCTGCTCGACCCAGGGCATGTGTTGTCTTGCAATGTTCCAGGAACTGGAAAGAGAACAATAACGCTCAAAAGATTTAATCATCAATAGTGTATAATTCTGGAATAAATTTGAAATGTTCAGACAAGGAAACGATTGGTTTTCTGTGTCATTCATGAGCTCATGTCTAGTCTAACTTAAGATACTTCACAATTCCAACACAGTCAGGTGTTTATCCTAAGGCAACAGGTGAACCAAACAGTGACTTGGTGAGTCCTGCACAATAATGATCATTTCAAGAATATTTCGAAATAACTACATCACCTTGGTCTCTTCCTAACCGACACTTTTGCACATACAGCTTCCCTCACAGCTTTATACTGCAGAGTCACAGAATCACAGCTTTATAGCATGTGGAGTCTCAGCTTGATACCATGTAGCAGTCCTAGACAAAATCTGTGATTTCACAGAACGTTTTGCAGAAAAAGTACTAACCGCAGAACTGCAGAAAAATCATGGAATTTGCCTTTTTTAAATCAATCAATACACTAATTTTCCTTATTATCAAGCTTTTCTATCACATTTTGCATTCAAAAGATGCCCAAACATTTAACACACAATTCAAACATACAAAATATGTATTCTGCAATAAAAACAAATTTGAAAAAAATAATTCTCACTTTTTAATGTTCTTGTGGTATTATGACCACATAAGCTATGCTGACATCTTACCATAAGTAAATATCAGTGACACTATGCATATTTATTTGTATAATTGATCCAATGATAACTGTTAATTATGACAATTTGTGGAATCATTTTGATACGGTTTTGGATTCAAGTTTTAGAAAAATGAGTTGGGGGGGTGGGGGGGGGGGGGGGGGGGGTGGGGGGTGGGAATAGCTATGTTTTTACTGCTGAATTGACCTCAGAAGTTTCTAATTTGAGCTGAAGAATTTTCGTTATTTGACTGCAGAATTTGTCTGGGACTCATGTAGAGTCATACCTTTATATCATGCAGAATAACAGCATTATACCATGTACCATGTAGAATAACAGCTTTATACCATGTAGAATAACAGCTTTATATCAGAATCACAGCTTCATACCATGTGAAGTCACAGCTTTACACTACGTGGAGTCACAGCCTTATACCACGTAGAGTCACAGCTTTATACCATGTAGAATAACAGCTTTATATCAGAATCACAGCTTCATACCATGTGAAGTCACAGCTTTACACTACGTGGAGTCACAGCCTTATACCACGTAGAGTCACAGCTTTATACCATGTAGAATAACAGCTTTATATCAGAATCACAGCTTCATACCATGTGAAGTCACAGCTTTACACTACGTGGAGTCACAGCCTTATACCACGTAGAGTCACAGCTTTATACCATGTAGAATAACAGCATTATACCATGTAGAGTCACAGCTTTATATCAGAATCACAGCTTCATACCATGTGAAGTCACAGATTTATACTACGTGGAGTCACAGCTTTATACCACGTAGAGTCACAGCTTTGTTTCACAGAGGGTCACAGCTTTATACCACAGTACAACAGTTTTATACCATGTAGAGTCACAGCTTTATACTACGTGGAGTCACAGCTTTATACCATGTAGAGTCACAGCTTTGTTTCACAAAGGGTCACAGCTTTATACCACAGTACAACAGTTTTATACCATGTAGAGTCACAGCTTTATACCACGTGGAGTTGCAGCTTTATACCATGTAGAGTCACAGCTTTGTTTCACAAAGGGTCACAGCTTTATACCACAGTACAACAGTTTTATACCATGTAGAGTCACAGCTTTATACCATGTGGAGTTGCAGCTTTATACCATGTAATCACAGCTTTATACCATATTATCACAGCTTTATACCACAGAGTAACAGCTTTATGCCATGTAGAGTCACAGCTTTATACCATGTAGAGTCACAGCTTTATACCATGTAGAGTCACAGCTTTATACCATGTAGAGTCACAGCTTAATACCATATGGAGTTGCAGCTTTATACCATGTAATCACAGCTTTATACCATATTATCACAGCTTTATACCACAGAGTGACAGCTTTATGCCATGTAGAGTCACAGCTTTATACCATGTGGAGTTGCAGCTTTATACCATGTAGAGTCACAGCTTTATACCATGTAGAGTCACAGCTTAATACCATGTGGAGTTGCAGCTTTATACCATGTAATCACAGCTTTATACCATATTATCACAGCTTTATACCACAGAGTAACAGCTTTATGCCATGTAGAGTCACAGCTTTATACCATGTAGAGTCAAAGCTTTATACCATGTAGAGTCACAGCTTTATACCATGTAGAGTCACAGCTTTATACCATGTAATCAAAGCTTTATACCATATTATCACAGCTTTATACCACAGAGTGACAGCTTTATGCCATGTAGAGTCACAGCTTTATACCATGTGGAGTTGCAGCTTTATACCATGTAATCACAGCTTTATACAATGTAGAGTCACAGCTTAATACCATGTGGAGTTGCAGCTTTATACCATGTAATCACAGCTTTATACCATATTATCACAGCTTTATACCATATTATCACAGCTTTATACCACAGAGTAACAGCTTTATGCCATGTATAGTCACAGCTTTATACTACGTGGAGTCACAGCTTTATACCATGTAGAGTCACAACTTTATTTCACATAGGGTCACAGCTTTATACCACAGTACAACAGCTTTATACCATGTAGAGTCACAGCTTTATACCATGTGGAGTTGCAGCTTTATACCATGTCATCACTGCGTTATACTTTGTAGAGTCACATTTTTATCGCATATTGTCACAGCTTCATACTGGGTCATTAAGAAATTCTAACAATGTACGCAAACTTTCACTTGAAATAACTCCATGGACTTGAATTTGTGGCACACAAATCATGGTTGATTGGTGAACAAATAATTCATTCAAACCAAGCAGCGAGCAAAGTGTCATGCTACCTCATTTTTAAACGGCGACTAATGACAGAAAGTTCAAATCAGGACAGATCAACCTACCAATAGAGGATAAACCTATTTACATAGAAACAATGTCTCAGTTTCAGACAAGGCAAGTTACAACATCTCGGCACACACTAAAATGGGCCGCAGTCCCTGTCGTCTAGTCTCTCCTTGCAGCTCCCTCGCCCTTCTACTCCCTGAGTGGGAGTGAGTTGGGTTTAACGCCGCTTTTAACAGTATTCCAGTTATACCACGGTGTGTCAGCTTAATGTGGGAGGAAAGCCCGAACTGATGCAGGTCTCAGGCGTTTACCATTTTGGTGAAGCCCACGAGCACGGGTATGGTGCTGACAAACCTAGAAATATAATCGGGGCGAACAAGGATTCGAACCCACAATCATAGGTTTCTGGCGTGTCCAAGGGACGCAACTCTGCACAGCGAATCGCGGCGCCTTAGACGACTGGGCCACCCGTGCCCCCTCTACTCCCTGAGTGAAGGCTGACCACCTAATCTCAATATAATAGATGCTTGAGCTCTTGGTCATTCCTTGTTATGTTCATTCAGAAAGGCAGTGTATTTTCTATAAAGATTCGTTAGCCTTGACCCTCATTGGCTGACTAGAAAGTCCACCTGACACGACATCCTACGGAGGGTTTGTCAGATCTTCATGCAGGCAGGTATTGCATCAGAATAAGGGATTTGATTTGAATGAGACTGAGCCTTCACATAATGCGTCGGCCGTGAGGACAACTTACCTGTGCATACTTTTCCTCGCTCATGCCTCCTCTTCTATGGACCTCTGTCACTATCACACCCGGACTGTAAAGAATGGATCAGAAACTAAGCATTAAAATCTCTTCCTCTTCATTGATCCTGTTATAAGTAAAATACAGGTTATCTTTACATAGCAAATCAATCAAGAAATGTTTTTTAGGAAGAGGCAGTTTCCACTTTTGTGAAAGACTTGAAAGTGCTCCTATTCATGTAAAACAAACAAAACATCTGAATGTGAATTGAAAGGCCTTACTAATCTAAAAAATAATAGACATCGTTATTAAAGAAGCCGATAAAGGAGGGGCTATTGTTATTACGAATAAATCATTTTATCAAAGAAAGATATTGTTTATTTTCAATAATGATCAATATTATAGCAATTCTAAGGAAAGAGAAGAAAAATCTGTCCAGAATAAGGTTAAGAAATTGTTAGATAAGTATGAACATGAAATTCTAGACAAAGAAAAGGACTATCTCACCAATTTTGAACCTAAGACCGCTAATTTTTATGGCCTACATAAAAGTAAATGTATTCAAAAGGAAATTAATGATAAAAATTGTGACATTATTTCTATCGAAAATCCCAAGGATTTACCATTTAGACCTATTGTGTGAGGACCCGTATTCAGCGTCTTAGCAGTTTCATAGATATTAGTCTTAAGCCCTAATGTAAACATGTAAAAAGTTTTCTCAGGGATGACATTGATTTTTTATGTAAATTACCTACTGAAGTACCGGAAGGATCTATGTTAGTTAGTTTTGATGTTGTTAGTTTGTACAGTAATATTGAAACTGAGCTTGGACTGGAAGCTATCAGATACTGGCTAAAAGAATACTGCCATGAAATACTCGTACCAGATAGATTTTCGGATGAGTTTATCGTTGATGCATTGAAGTTGGTTATTACCAATAACATGTTTTATTTTGATGGATCTTATTATTCACAAAAGAAAGGAGTAGCCATGGGTACTAAGGTAGCCCCTACTTATGCAACCCTTGTGTTGGGATTTTTAGAGAATATGTTTTATGATAAGGTGAGAGATACTCTTGGTGAATCTATGAAAGAACAAATTGAACATTCATGGAAAAGGTTTTTAGACAACTGTTTTATCATATTAAAAACCAGTGAAAGTCAACTTACCGCTGTTCATGAAATTTTAAATTCACTTAATGCGTCACTCAATTTCACTATGGAAAAAAGCGAATCCAGTTTAACCTTTCTCGATGTAAGAATCAATTTAATATCTGGAAGATTTGTACAAACTGATACGCACCAATATTTGGATTTTGGATCATGTCCTGTAATATCCCTTACTGTCTCGCAATTTGTACCATTGTTTCCGGGAATGATGTTAAAACTACCCGCCTTGCTGAACTTAAGAGTTTCATAGTGCATCAAAATTATCCGGCAAAGCTAATTGAAGATAGCATACTGAAGGCGCTCAGTATTTAGCAACTAAAACTGAGAGAAATGTCTGAAAAAAAACAATATGGGGAATAATTTAACTCTAGTATCTACCTTCAACCCTATTCCAGCTATGTGACAGCGGTCTGTAAATAATTGAATCTGGACCAGACAATCCAGTGAATGACATCATGAGCATCGATCCACGCAATTGGGATTGATAACATGCATCAACCAAGTCAGCGAGCCTGACCACCCGATCCCGTTAGTCGCCTTTTACAACAAGCATAGTCACCTTTTACAGCAAGCATGGGTTGCTGAAGACCTATTCTACCCCGGAATCTTCACGGTCTGAATCAAAGTATTAAAATGGAGAATATATTGAACAAATACAAAATTATCAACAGTCAAAGACAACCCCAAAATCTTAGAAAGATTTTGACAAGTTCTAAATTTGATTCTGTTGTCATCACTCCGAAGGTTTCTAAGTGTGGTGACAAACGTTGCCTTACTTGCAGCAATATAATTGAAGGTCTAGATAAATCCCTGTATATATATATATACATGTATATCGGCCTCTGAGCAGGTCTAGATAAATCCCTGTATATATATATACATGTATATCGGCCTCTGAGCAGGTCTAGATAAATCCCTGTATATATATATACATGTATATCGGCCTCTATGCAGGTCTAGATAAATCCCTGTATATACATACATGTATATCGGCCTCTGAGCAGGTCTAGATAAATCCCTGTATATACATACATGTATATCGGCCTTTGAGCAGGTCAAGATAAATCCCTGCATATATATATATATATACACACATGTATATCGGCCTCTGAGCAGGTCTAGATTAATCCCTGTATATATATATATATACATACATGTATATCGGCCTCTGAGCAGGTCTAGATAAGTCCCTGTATATACATACATGTATATCGGCCTTTGAGCAGGTCAAGATAAATCCCTGTAGATATATATATATATATATATACACATGTATATCGGCCTCTGAGCAGGTCTAGATTAATCCCTGTATATATATATATATATACATACATGTATATCGGCCTCTGAGCAGGTCTAGATAAGTCCCTGTATATACATACATGTATATGGGCGTTTAAGCAGGTCAAGATAAATCCCTGTATATATATATATATATATATATATATATATATATATATATGTATATCGGCCTCTGAGCAGGTCTAGATAAATCCCTGTATATATATACATACAGGTATATCGGCCTCTGAGCAAGTCTAGATAAATCCCTGTATATATATATATACATGTATATCGGCCTCTGAGCAAGTCTAGATAAATCCCTGTATATATATACATGTATATCGGCCTCTGAGCAGGTCTAGATATATCTCTGTATATATATATACATGTATATCGGCCTCTGAGCAGGTCTAGATAAATCCCTGTATATATATATACATGTATATCGGCCTTTGAGCAGGTCAAGATAAATCCCTGTATATATATATATATATATATATATATATACATGTATATCGGCCTCTGAGCAAGTCTAGATAAATCCCTGTATATATATATATATATACATGTATATCGGCCTCTGAGCAGGTCTAGATAAATCCCTGTATATACATACATGTATATCGGCCTTTGAGCATGTATATCGGCCTCTGAGCAGGTCTAGATTAATCCCTGTATATATATATATATATATATATATATATATATATATATATATATATATATATATATATACATACATGTATATCGGCCTCTGAGCAGGTCTAGATAAATCCCTGTATATATATACATGTATATCGGCCTCTGAGCAGGTCTAGATAAGCCCCTGTATATATATACATGTATATCGGCCTCTGAGCAAGTCTAGATAAATCCCTGTATATATATACATGTATATCGGCCTCTGAGCAAGTCTAGATAAATCCCTGTATATATATACATGTATATCGGCCTCTGAGCAGGTCTAGATATATCTCTGTATATATATATACATGTATATCGGCCTCTGAGCAGGTCTAGATAAATCCCTGTATATATATATACATGTATATCGGCCTTTGAGCAGGTCAAGATAAATCCCTGTATATACATACATGTATATCGGCCTTTGAGCAGGTCAAGATAAATCCCTGTATATATATACATGTATATCGGCCTCTGAGCAAGTCTAGATAAATCCCTGTATATACATACAGGTATATCAGCCTCTGATCAGGTCTAGATAAGTCCCTGTATATACATACATGTATATCGGCCTCTGAGCAGGTCTAGATAAGTCCCTGTATATACATACATGTATATCGGCCTCTGAGCAAGTCTAGATAAATCCCTGTATATATATACATGTATATCGGCCTCTGAGCAAGTCTAGATAAATCCCTGTATATATATACATGTATATCGGCCCTTGAGCAGGTCTAGATATATCTCTGTATATATATACATGTATATCGGCCTCTGAGCAAGTCTAGATAAATCCCTGTATATATATACATGTATATCGGCCCTTGAGCAGGTCTAGATATATCTCTGTATATATATACATGTATATCGGCCTCTGAGCAAGTCTAGATAAATCCCTGTATATATATACATGTATATCGGCCCTTGAGCAAGTCTAGATATATCTCTGTATATATATACATGTATATCGGCCTCTGAGCAAGTCTAGATAAATCCCTGTATATATATACATGTATATCGGCCCTTGAGCAGGTCTAGATATATCTCTGTATATATATACATGTATATCGGCCTCTGAGCAAGTCTAGATAAATCCCTGTATATATATACATGTATATCGGCCTCTGAGCAGGTCTAGATTAATCCCTGTATATATATATATATATATATATATATATATATATATATATATATATATATATATACATACATGTATATCGGCCTCTGAGCAGGTCTAGATAAATCCCTGTATATATATACATGTATATCGGCCTCTGAGCAGGTCTAGATAAGCCCCTGTATATATATACATGTATATCGGCCTCTGAGCAAGTCTAGATAAATCCCTGTATATATATACATGTATATCGGCCTCTGAGCAAGTCTAGATAAATCCCTGTATATATATACATGTATATCGGCCTCTGAGCAGGTCTAGATATATCTCTGTATATATATATACATGTATATCGGCCTCTGAGCAGGTCTAGATAAATCCCTGTATATATATATACATGTATATCGGCCTTTGAGCAGGTCAAGATAAATCCCTGTATATACATACATGTATATCGGCCTTTGAGCAGGTCAAGATAAATCCCTGTATATATATACATGTATATCGGCCTCTGAGCAAGTCTAGATAAATCCCTGTATATACATACAGGTATATCAGCCTCTGATCAGGTCTAGATAAGTCCCTGTATATACATACATGTATATCGGCCTCTGAGCAGGTCTAGATAAGTCCCTGTATATACATACATGTATATCGGCCTCTGAGCAAGTCTAGATAAATCCCTGTATATATATACATGTATATCGGCCTCTGAGCAAGTCTAGATAAATCCCTGTATATATATACATGTATATCGGCCCTTGAGCAGGTCTAGATATATCTCTGTATATATATACATGTATATCGGCCTCTGAGCAAGTCTAGATAAATCCCTGTATATATATACATGTATATCGGCCCTTGAGCAGGTCTAGATATATCTCTGTATATATATACATGTATATCGGCCTCTGAGCAAGTCTAGATAAATCCCTGTATATATATACATGTATATCGGCCCTTGAGCAGGTCTAGATATATCTCTGTATATATATACATGTATATCGGCCTCTGAGCAGGTCTAGATAAATCCCTGTATATATATACATGTATATCGGCCCTTGAGCAGGTCTAGATATATCTCTGTATATATATACATGTATATCGGCCTCTGAGCAAGTCTAGATAAATCCCTGTATATATATACATGTATATCGGCCCTTGAGCAGGTCTAGATATATCTCTGTATATAAATATACAGGTATATCGGCCTCTCTGCAGGTCTAGATGAATCCCTGTAATGATTGTGCTGGAGATAATAGATTACCAGTGAAATCATGGCAATGATAACTAATGAAAACACAGACTTACTTGACACAGTTTACTCGGACTTGTTTAGGAGCCAATTCTGTGAAAAACAAGAAAATGTGCCTAAAATATACTAAACAAACTGAAAAAGCAACCCTCCTTAAAATCATAGTAAAAGAGAAATTTAGTTCCTAAACTTTGTACAGCATGAATACTCACCCAGAGCAACACACCTTGTCATCTGGTCGATTGCGCTCTTTGACATGCAGTATGACAAGACACCAGAAAACTGAAATTTCAAATTTGTCCATAAATATTGTGCTGTGTTTTCATTTATCATATTAGGGTTTGGAAAATCCTTGAAAGTATGTTGAGTGACAGCTGATGTACATACAAAGATTCATCAAGAAATAGTGAAGGGTTTAAGAGTTAAACTGGAATAGAAATGTGATGGACAGAACCTGCTTCCTATATACCAGCCGGGGACACGGGTGTCCCAGTCGTCTAAGGCGCCGCGATTCGCTGTGCAGAGTTGCGTCCCTTGGGCACGCCAGAAACCTATGATTGTGGGTTCGAATCCTGGTTCGCCCCGATTATGTTTTAGGTTTGTCAGGACCATTCCCGTGCTCGTGGGTTTCATCGAAGTGGTAAACGTCTGAGACCTGCATCACTTCGGGCTTTCCTCCCACATTAAGCTGACACGCCGCGATATAACTGGAATACTGTTAAAAGCGGCGTAAAACCCAACTCACTCACTCACTATATTCCAGCCAAAATTTGTTTGTGTTGGGATTAAAATGAGTTTTGCCTTAGCTGTGGCTTCCTTCTATGCAAATTGTGTGAGTGGCAGAGCAGAACATGCTCCCTCTTATCACCAACACCTGGTGTCAACACCTACGTTCAGTGATTCATTCACATAATTTTCAGCATTACCGTATTCGACGTAATAAGTGCCCACGGCGATATTTGCGAATATATTGGCAAGTGAACAATCCCAATTAGCACCCCTTCCGATTGATCAATGTTCACAAGACTTATTTATTCGCGTATGATACGCACTCATGTGTTATATGCACCCTTATATATGGGCAATTAAATTCTAGAAAAATATATCTGTCGTACATGAACACAAAATTTTTCTTTCAGCTCTGTTTTATTTTCACCAAAATAATATTTTAATAAGAGCCCCCTATTTCTAATTTTGAGAGGGCCCTGGGCGCTTATTACGTCGAATACGGTATTTTGTCTCTTACACCCGATGGAATTTCTTTTGGCAGATAATTGAGACTGATTATTCTAAAAAAATTCTAATAATAATGACATGTGGCCGAACAAGAGATCATTACATTTATGTAGCCTGCTGGTTTTAATAAGATTGGAGATATCTATAAATGTGAAACAACATCACATACTGCTCGGAGTCCTGTGACGCTGGAGACATTGACGATGTTGCCTTTTGTCTTCACCAGGTGCGGCACACACAACATTGTTAAATGGTAAATGGATCTGAAACAGAAGTGGGGGAGGGTGCCTTATGTCACATATCATCACTGCGTGGGTACACACAGATCTGGCTGGGCTAAGGTGAGGTGAGGTGAAATTGGGTTTAACGTCGCGTCCAAGATTATTGCACTTATATAGCGACGTGCATGCACGTGTATGTGTGTGTGTGGCTGCTTGTACTAGTCCGGACTGATGCCGATTTATAGTGCCAGCTCACTGAGATACCATGCCGCAGTTTAACATGAATACCCCACTCAGACACAGTATACTGACTCCGAGCCAACCAGTCCTTGTTTTAGCCCCTTAATGCCGAGCGCCAGACAGGGTAACAACAAGTACAATCTTTTAACGTCTTTTTGTATGACGCGGCCCGGGATCGAACCCTGGACCTTCCGCTCTCCGGGCGGACGCTCTACCACAAGACCACGGAGGCGGTCTGGCTGGGCTCAGACTGCATGTGCTGACCACTTGGCTACTTTGATCTTTTTTTACCAGATATTATAAAGGGTGGCATGGCGTGGTGTGGAGTTTAACATCGCTTCCAAGATTATTGCACTTATATAGTGACATGTGCGTGCATGCTCTTGTACTTGTCTGGAGACCCGTGAAGATCCGGGTTAATATAGGTCTTCAGCAACCCATGCTTTCCGTAAAAGGCGACTATGCTTGTCGTTAGAGGCGACTAACAGGATCGGGTAGCCAGGCTGGCTGACTTGGTTCATGCATGTCATCGACCCCAATTGTGTAAGAGGTGACTAACGGGATTGGGTGATACACTGTGATAAGGCTCGCTCACAAGTACCGAAAATCTAATACAGTTTCCACTGTTTGAAGATGAAATATCTCTGATAATTAGCAAAATCTCATTATATGCCAAAGAATCTCATTCCTTTTGGACCAGAGGAGATATCTCTCAAAGGTAATAAACATTTCCAGGACAATCCCTGAAATACTATTGAAATAGTGTTTTAACTACCTGTACAGCAACTCTATTACAAAAGTTAATAAATAATGTCAATAGTCTCTTAAATTGGAGGGGCGGTCAGGTAGCCTAGTGGTTAAAGTGTTCGCTCGTCACGCCGAAGACCCGGGTTCGATTCCTGACATGGGTACAATGTGTGAAGCCCATTTCTGGTGTGCCCCGCCGTGATATTGCTAGAATATTGCTAAAAACGGTGTAAAACCTTACTCACTCACTCACTTAAATTGGAGTCTCACCTGACATTGATGTTGAATATCCTGTCAAATTGTTCTAAACTTGTTGTTTCAATGCTGCCAGATTCCAGGATTCCGGCATTGTTGACCTGGACGAAACAAAACACAAACCTCTCTGACAAGGACCCTGTTGGACATGGCTGACCAAATAAGCTTGGCTCAGTACCCTGCTGTAGTTTCACCAGCTCAGTTATAGCTACAAGCCATGGAAATACATTACATGCCGGTGTCAAATAATCATAATCATAATCATAATCATTCAACCATATTACTAAACATGATAACTGTAAACATATCTACTGCTGCTTGATACAGACTTCTCTTGACTTGACTGATACTTGATAGCAGCCTGTAATAATATAGAACCATATTGATACCGGATATAGGACTATATTGATACTAGCCTATATTGATACCGGATATAGGACTTTATTGATACTAGCCTATATTGATACCGGATATAGGACTATATTGATACTAGCCTATAATGATACCGGATATAGGACTATATTGATACTAGCCTATATTGATACCGGATATAGGACTATATTGATACTAGCCTATATTGATACCAGATATAGGACTATATTGATACTAGCCTATATTGATACCGGATATAGGACTATATTGATACTAACCTATATTGATACCGGATATAGGACTATATTGATACTAGCCTATAATGATACCGGATATAGGAATATATTGATACTAGCCTATATTGAAACCTGATATAGGACTATATTGATACTAGCCTATATTGATACCAGATATAGGTCTATATTGATACTAGCCTATATTGATACCGGATATAGGACTATATTAATACTAGCCTATATTGATACCGGATATAGGACTATATTGATACTAGCCTATATTGATACCTGATATAGGACTATATTGATACTAGCCTATATTGATACCGGATATAGGTCTATATTGATACTAGCCTATATTGATACCGGATATAGGACTATATTGATACTAGCCTTAATTGATACCGGATATAGAACTACATTGATACTAGCCTATATTAATACCGGATATAGGACAATATTGATACTAGCCTATTTTGATACTGGATATGTTTGATGGAAAATATACTAACCGCCAAAAGAAACGCGATACCAAATATGTTGGTAAATATATGAGGAATTACTCATATTCAATAAATATAAGATTGGTTTGATGCACAAACGAATTTACTTGTATGTTGTGTGAACAGACGCTCATGAACGCATCACATGTGATGCCGTAGAACCATGACTCGAGATGCACCACTTCTCTCTTGCAGGATTAGCGTGTAAAGTTTCGAATTCAAGGGTAGCATATCGTGATAAGAATAAAGACACTCTGTGGTAACACTTGACTGATTGTTAGCTTTGTCATGAATTGGTACAAATTGGAAACATCTCTTCTTAACACATACTTCTCTATATGTTTCTATGGTTCACGTTTCTTTTGGCGGTGAGTATATGCTCTTAAGTTGGTTGTTTAACGCCGCACTCAGTAATATTCCAGCTATATGACGACGGTCTGTAAATAATCGACTCTGGACCAGACAATCCAGTGATTGATATCATGATCATCGATCCACGCAATTGGATGAGATGACATGCATCAACCAAGTCAGCGAGCCTGACCGCCCGATCCTGTTAGTCGCCTTTTACGACAGGCATAGTCACTTTTTACGGCAAGCATGGGTTGCTGAAGACCTATTCTACCGCGGAATCTTCACGGGTCATATGCTCTTTAGAATAATATCTTTGATTGCATTAATTAACTGCAACTTATCTGCTACTGACCAATATGTCCAGTCTGCCTGCACCTGCGATGGCTTCGTCCACGATACGCTGTGTGTCCTCTTCCTTAGACAGGTCACCAATCAGGAGGACGGGCTGTGGAGGACACGTGACTTTAATTCTAAACATGTTAAATGTGTTAAAAGAGTAAACATGTTCAGATTTTGGGGATGTTGTGTTGAGGTGGTGTTTTGGTCGTGACATGACAGCTCATTTCACATGTTTAGACCCCAAACATGTTTAGATAGAACATATCAAATGTGTATTCCGCTTTGAATTAAAAAAACACTCCTAAACACGTCTAGATGTAAACATAATATGTTTCATACTGTTTACATTTTAAACAGGTTTTTTACAGTGTAGGTATTGGATTCTACATTATTTCTGGAAGATAGCTTTGCTTAGAATCAGGGAAGATGGTGGGAATCTGTTGACTTCCTATCAGACTCAGTACTGCCCACGCCATCCATGGTGCCTCTCCAGCAAATTGTCCCACTGTTCCAACTTACTTGCAACCACAGTCAGACCCCATTATGACAAATGTACTGTAGTGAGTGAGTTTGGTTTGACGCCACTTTTAGCAATATTCCAGCAATATCACGGCGGGGGACACCAGAAATGGGCTTCACACATTGTACCCATGTCGGGAATCGAACCCGGGTCTTCGGCGTGATGAGCGAACGCTTTAACCACTAGGCTACCCGACCTCCCCACAAATGTACTGTAACTTGAACCTACTCTCCAGACCACCTCACTATATACCGTATTTGACGTAATAAGCGCCCCGCTCTAATAAGCGCCTACGGCGATATTTTCTAATAATTGGCTAGTGAACAATCCCTATTAGCACCCCTCCCGATTGATCAATGTACACAAGACTTATTTATTTGTGTATAATATGCACTCAAATGTTATATACACCCTTAATTATGGGCAGTTAAATCCTCGAAAATATATCTATGGTGTCTAATACACACAGATTCTTTTACATCATTTCAGGCTGTCAGCATAAACCACAAAATTTAAAATCTTTCAACTCTGTTTTTTATCTCACCAAAATCATATTCTAATAAGAGCCCCCTATTTCTCATTTTGAGATCGCCCTGGGTGCTTATTACATCGAATACAGTAAATATGTTTATATTTGACCGCTTATCGATAATTGGAGATTAACATACACAGCGCTGTGGAACCTTGGAATTTGTCCAAACTTTGACTTTGCTATAAAATTTAGTACCCTTATCTCGAAGTTGGTATTTGTCACATTAACAGTTCTGATAGGTGCAAATAAGCATTTTGCATAAGAATGAGCAATTCTCCTAGATATATATCTAGCACCTCTCCTCACACAATTATCTAACCATTCCTGAAAAATAATGGATTGCTCAAACAAAAGAATTACCGGTATGTCACAGATGTGTCATAAACACTGGTACACTCCATGATACAGGCATCACGGTCATGATCAGTAACATAATCATCTACGGTTTCAACAAACTCATTTCCAATAAACAGCTTTTAGTAACTTTAGCAACATATACTGATAGATACCAATTGAAAAGCACATCGTGCCTTGTCAATGTACATATCTTAAACAGTCGCTGATTGGTGACTGAAAAAATGGTGCTTTTTTACCATGCTAGGTTTTACAAACAAAATGGCTTCCTGGATAGGGAGCTGCATGCAGATGCAGACGGGTATATTAATCATTCATATAATTTTAAAGGATTTACAGGGACTGTTACGCAACAGGTTTTTTTTAAGTTAAAATACCCACATGTCAGGAAACAGGTGGGTAAAAATGATTTGAATACCCAATCAAAATCAAACCTGTGGGTAAATTATCCAAATACACAAAAGCTTATCTAGAGCTCTGTACAATTGCCATCTGGAGTGAGTGAGTGAGTGAGTGAGTGAGTGAGTGAGTGAGTGAGTGAGTGAGTGAGTGAGTGAAGTTTAAGGCCGCTTTGAACAGTATTCCAGTTATATCACAGTGTGTCAGCTTGATGTGGGAGGAAAGCCCAAGGTAATGCAGGTCTCATACGTTTACCACTTTGATGAAACCCACGAGCACAGTTATGGTGCTGACAAGCCTAGAAACATCGGGGCTAACCAGGATTCGAACCCACGATCATAAGTTTCTGGCATAACCAAAGGACGCAACTTTGCACACAGCGAATTGTGGCACCTTAGATGACTGGGCCAACAGCCATGCTTATCTCATCACATCATTGCCAGTTAGTTTCAAATAAACCGGCTCCGTGGTCTAGTGGTAGAGCGTCCGCACGGAGAGCGGAAGGTCCGGGGTTCGATCCCCGGCCACATCATACCAAAAGACGTTAAAAGATGATACTTGTTGCTACCCTGTCAGGCGCTCGGCATTCAGGGGCTAAAACAAGGACTGGTTGGCTCGAAGTCAGTATACTGTGTCTGAGTGGGGTATTCATGTTAAACTGCAACATGGTATCTCAGTGAGCTAGCACTATAAATCGGCATCAGTCCGGACTAATACAAGCAGCCACACAAACACACACACGTACATGCACGTCGCTATATAAGTGCAATAATCTTGGACGCGACGTTAAACCCCATTTCACCTCACCTAGTTTCAAACAATGAACATCACATTCTCCTTGTTGGGATTACTGCAGTTGAACATGTACAGTCAGGGAACAGATACACTCACATGTAATACATGTAATATGTAGGATGCTATGACTTGGACGGACATGTCTAACTGTTTGCTACATGACATGGATGCTGTATCATCTATACGTGACTTGATGCCTCGGATATCCCACACACACATATTCATTTACCTGGTCGCATAATATGCTGTAGTAGTTCATCATAATCAGCAAGTGTTCCTCACGCAATATTGAAATCTGTAATCGCCTAAATGTAGCTCATGGATATCATGGGTATTCCAATGTATTAACATGATTAATAGTCTTCACCCTACACTTGGATCCCTGGTCACCTAATATGTTACACGCAGTAGTTCATGGGTATTCCAATGTGTTAATGACCTTCACCTTATCACCGACAAATCTGCCGGCCTCGGGCCTATGGGCACATGTCTATTTTGAACACTGGTCAAGTGAACACCTTTACCCATTTAATCAAGTACAGATTTACACAAAACAATTGATGGAGCAACTATAGAATATGATCTCCACTGTTTTTATTCTAGGATCCAAGGGCTAAGGAGTTGGGGGTAACCTACTCCAACCTGACCACACCTAACTCTAAGGATCAAAGAGGCATGCGACAATAGAGGGCTGTAATTGTAACAGACCAAGATAGCTAATGCTCTACTAAAGACATAAAAAACATATTGTTAAGCAATTTTCATACAGGTTAATAAAATCTATGTTGTACTGAAATTATAGAATTTGTAAAATGGACGCGTAACTACAGAGATGGCTGAATTTGCTCAGGTAATTCATATATTTCATATTTCATGGATCCCCTTCACCTCATACTTGATCCGGGTTAGAATAGGGATTCTGCAACCCATGCTTGCCGTAAGAGGCGACTAACAGGATACCTGGGTCAGGCTCGCTGACTTGGTTGATGAGTTTTCTTTGTATCCCAATTGCGTGGATCAATGCTCATGATATCAGTCACTGGATTGTCTGTTCTAGACTTGATTATTTATAGACCATCGTCATATAGCTGGAATATTGCTGAGTGTAGCGTTTAACAACATATGAACGAACACCTCATACTTGGATCTCTAGTCACCAAATATGTTATACACTGTACATGTAGTCAATGGGTATCCCAAAGTGTTAATGACCTTCACCTTATATTTGGGTAGCCTAGTCACCTGACATGTCATACACAGAACATGGGTATCCCAAAGTGTTAATGACCTTCACCTTATATTTGGGTAGCCTAGTCACCGGACATGTTGTACACAGTACATGGGTATCCCAGCGTGTTAATGACCTTCACCTTATACTTGGAGTCCTGGCTGCATTGCTCTGCTGTCTTCTTCAGGTTTTCCTTATTTCTCCCCGTGATGATGACACGGGCTCCCAGCTGAGAAAACAATATGGCTGTGCCAGCTCCAATACCTGAACTGGCACCTGAAAATGCATTCAATTTTTTATCATTATTGCTGAAAAGCATTGCTGCGACCTGGACTTAACATACCTGACTCATATTACATCACCCTGACATCACTGATATAGCCTTCAAGTAACGTTTGTGTTGGACAACATCATTCAGTGTCACATGTCAAGTGCTGGGTCTGAAACTCACCAGAGTAAACTGAGAGGACCAGCACATTTAAAAACCCAGTGGAAAAACTGTAGTCCCAAACATTTTATCTGAAGCAGGGAGACATATTCTTGCAATATGAATTACAAAACACAACCAGTCAACCAGAAGCTTTCACTGCTATGATACCAAGTTCCAAGAGACTCGGTGGTGATAGATGAAGCCTACATTTATCAAGGAAATTAGCAGCTTGTGAAACATCTGTCCAGGGTAGATTAGGTCTTCAGCAACCCATGCTTGCCGTAAAAGGTGACTAAGTTTGTCGTAAAAGGCGACTAGCGGATCGGGTGGTCAGACACGCTGACTTGGTTAATGCATGTCATCGATTCTAATTGCGTGGATCAATGCTCATGTTGTCAGTCACTGGATTGTCTGGTCCAGACTCAATTATTTACAGACCGCCGTCATATAGCTGGAATATTGCTGAGTGCAGTGTTAAACAACAAACAAACAAACATGTCATACACCATTTGAAAGGTCTAATTCTTCTGTTTATAAATATGAAGTTATGTTTATCACATTACTCAAATAATGATTAATAAATTATTACTTAGTAAACTGAAGACTGTAAGGACCTGCTGAATTCTAAAACTATCAGCCTGAGAACAAATCTGCCAGCCTCGGGCCAATGGGCACATGTCTATTTTGAACACTGGTCAAGTGAACACCTTTACCCATTTAATCAAGTACAGATTTACACAAAACACTGATGGAGCAACTAAAGAATATGATCTCCACTATTTTTATTCTAGGATCCAAAGGCTAAGGAGTTGGGGGTAACCTACTCCAACCCTACCACAACTAACCCTAAGGATCAAAGAGGCATGCGACAATAGAGGGCTCTGCTTCTTGTGATATTACCCACAATTCTTACTGGGTGGCCATGTTGGTAGGCTTTGATCGCATTGCATGGTAAGCATTTGATTGTAACATACCAAGATAGCTGATAGACATAGAGTATAGACATGTGTACCAAATGATAGCATTTATAAAAAACAAAAACTATCTATAAATATGCCATTGTCAATCATAGGTCTGGGGTATAAAGTTAATGCATACCAGCTGGCACTGACATATATTACCGCTTTAACAAGGATGTTTAACTTTGCTTTGTTAGCATATTAATAGGTTCATTTGTGTGGACTGAATATAAATAACAAAATAAGGGCAGTGGTAATATATTTACAATGAATTTAGTTTGCTATAACAGGCCTCAAAGTTGCGACTAAAACGGTAGCCAATGCGACCAAAACTTCAGTTTGTCTACTGTCCTAAATTCAGAGGTAGCCAAATGACTATCTAGAAAAATATCTTGTGGCGACTAAATTCTATTGCTACACATCTGTAGTCACAAAAATGAATAACAGCTGATATTGGAAAACCCGTCTGCTAATAATTGTTCTTGCAAATAATTCTAAAGTCGACAATGAACCAAAATACATAAAAATTAATGTAATTAGTACTTTATTTTAGTTGACAATGCTCATTGGATAAGCGAGGATATGCCTATATAATCTAGTAACATAAATTGCATCATTGTTCAAGTCACAAGTAACAAAATTCAAGTACAGTTTACATTAAGATACAATTTCCAGATTAGTGCTGTAACTTGTACATATCATAATATACTGAACAACATAAGTTCCTGTGACATTGAATAAGATTTAATGCAAAGTTATGTTTTTTACCATATCTGAAACAATTTCGGTTTGCAACAGATAAAAGACTCCTGTAAGTGTTCAAATGGTTTAATTTGCCATACTGACTTCAGAAAATGTGTGACTTCATTAAAAACATGAACATGCCAAAATGTCAATTTACAAATCAATAGCGTGTGTGTCCACCTCTGGTTGCGATGCAAGCAACACATCTTCGTCTCATGGAATGGACCAGGCGTCGCACAAAGTCCTATGGGATATCTGTCCATATCTGCTGGAGCATGTTTCGAAGTTCCTGCTGTGTCTGTGGAACCATGGTTTACGTCAAAGGCGCCGATCCATCTCATCCCATATGTGCTCGATTGGTGAGAGATCAGGGGAGCGAGCTGGCCAGGGGATGACATTCACGTTGTTTTGTTGATGAGAATCCTGAACAAGTCAAGCAATATGAGGCTGGGCGTTGTCATGTTGAAAGGTAATGCCTGGGCCATGACGATGCAAAAATGGTAGAACAACAGGGCCGATGATCTCGTCGGGGTAGCGCTGTCCATTAAGATCACTATCAAAAGGGTCCTCTGTCTTGCTGTAATCCCACCCCATACCATAACACTGCTGCCCCCGAACCGATCTTCTTCCATGACACAATGATTGACGTAACGTTCACCTCGACGCCGGTACACTCGAATCCATCCATCGCTGTGGCTGAGGTGAAAACGAGACTAGTTAGTGAATAGAACTTGTCCCCACTGCATGGCCGTCCAGCGTAGACGCTGTCTGCACCACTGTATAGGTGCTTGACGGTGGTTTCCTGTCAAAATGGGATGTCTGGCGGGTCTTCTGGCGACAATCCCTGCACATCTGAGGCCGTGACGTATGGTGTGTGAAGATATTCGTCGAAGGCCAGTGATGCTTCTTGCAGTCACTGTTGCTGGCTGGAATCGATTTTGTAGGTGTGTTGTTGGAATCCAGTTGTCTTGTCGATTATTGGTTACGTGTGGCCTGCCACTCCAAGGATGGTCTCTAACTGCATTCGTCTGTTGCCAACGTTGCCATAAACACCAAATAGTGTTTCTGTGGACGTTAAATAGTCTTGCAACATCACGTTGACTGCTTAAAGAATACCTATGGCTCGCAGACGCTCATTTTCGGTCAGGTGTGGCATTTCGTAATGTTGAATAATTGCGTAATTTTGTTGTTTTTCTGAGTGGTTGTTGTCAACACGATGCTAAACAATGCATATGGAACCCTGTTAACGCACATGTTTTTATACCCATTCTTGGGTAGTGAAATGCATGGGGCTTGCATTAAAGTCGACTTTTGCATGGAATGCATGCTTTTCTGTAGCAGTCGTGTTTTTGTGACTTGATTCCATACATGTACTACAATATTGAAAACCGAACTTTACTTTTTTGAAAAATACACTAAAATATTGGTGTCACAGGAACTTTTGTCGTTGAGTATAGTTATTTGATACAGATAATTTCAAATGCTTTTGGCTACCTACAATATTGGCTTAACTTCTGGATTTTACCAATGGCTACTTGGAGAAATATACTTGTAGCCATATGGCTACTTGGTAAAAAATTAAACTTTGAGGCCTGTATAAATATATATATCGATGATTATCTGGTTCTTTAAGATAACTCTGCACACACAACTGTGTCACATACCTTACATTACTTTAACAAACTGAGATACTTGAAAAAAAAGATTCCTCAATAAACTTTCACAACTATAAGATAGTTGGTTTACCACAAATCATAAACACAAAGATATGTAAGATTTGAACAATTATTTAGAAATTTGTAAAAGAAAACTCTTTCATAAAAAGAAGCTATCTTTCATAAATCAGCACTAAATACTTACAAAATATCTTAATGAAAACATAATATAATAAATATTTTGGGTAGTAAATTACCCAAATGGGTGACGTACATATGTTCTGGTATATGAAACCTGTTAGAGACTATATGTTACTCCAACACAATTCATTCAGTGAAATACAAACTACACCAAAACTATTTATTCAATATCCAGCACATAGCTTGTACCCAGATACATGTCTTTTCACTAGTTGATAAGATTTCATTGTTCTTTTTATCTTAATACCTTCCATCTGAAAGAGCTCTGAACATTAAATGCTATTTGTTATGTAATGGCTGCTTGTACATAATCGAGACTCCCCCAGGCATACGAGTACCGTATTCGACGTAATAAGTGCCCCGCTCTAATAAGCGCCTACGGCGATATTTGCTAATATATTGGCTAGTGAACAATCCCAATTAGAACCCCTTCCGATTGATCAATGTACACAAGACTTATTTATTCATGTATAATACGCACTCGTGTGATATATGCACCCTTAATTATGGGCAATGAAATTCTGGAAAAATATATCTGTCATATATAAACATTTCAGGCTGTCAGCATAAACCACAAAATTTACGATCTTTCAACTGTTTTTTTCACCAAAATAATATTCTAATAAGAGCCCCCGTATTTCTAAGTTTGAGAGACCTGGGCGCTTATTACGACGAATACGGTAATTGACATTGTAAGCAACAATCCATGGTGCGATGGTACGCAATCAACGAAGTTCACGAGTTGGACCACCCCATCCCTTAACATGATTAAGTCCCCTCTTACAACTCCCCACTAGGTTTGAATATTAAAATGATGTCCCTATGTTGTTGGATGTTTAGAACTACTTCTCTACGTCTCTAGATGTGGTTGATATGGCTTTCCTTCATAGCCTTATCGTGATTAATTCATTTAAAATGAGTTCTAAAAACTGTCGTTTTAAGCATTAAAAAGACGGTGTCAAGTTGCCACTTTTAATTAAATATGTCTGAGAAATTATGTAACACTGAAAAACATGTACCTTTGTTTTGTCAGTTTTCTTGATCTAATGTTAATTTTATTTTAAAAAATTCATTATTTGCAAATATAAGCTAGATGAATGCCAGAATGAATGAGTTCAATGTCTCGCCAAATATATGAGTTTTGAAAATGCTGTCGTACAATATATATTTATATCACAGGTTAACAATATTTTCAACAAGAATTAGTGAGTGCTGATGTAAGGCGTACATTTACTTCACTATAAGATGCGAACAAGATTTATCTTTCTTGTTTGAAGTAGGCCTAGTTCTTATGTCCATACACCAATATGGAAACCTTCGAGAGGGGCAGGAGTGTCCATTAGGCTTGTCCTGGAATGGGACAGCTTATCAAACATCAAGGCAAGCTGCCACCAGAATATATGGTCTTGATATAATAACGTTTCTTGATACAATGCTCCCTCGCTATTGCGCTCTTCAGCATAGCGCTAACTCAGCGTTATAGCGCATGGTAAAGCAAGGCTCCCAAAATTTACTTACATTTTTAATAAACTCAAGTTTTCCATTCCAATGACATGATGTTTTCCCCAGTCTCAAAAAACATTATCAGCTGATCACCGCGAGCCCGTAACAGCGGAAATACCAGTCAACAACTCTGAACTGATGTACACAATTTAATCCTATTAAATAATATCTGATTATAAAAATGTGTTCAGTGTTTATCTGGACTTATGTTTGCAATATATTTTATTTATTTTAAAATCCATATATGCTTCGAGCAGCTCTGCTATTCTGTGGCCTCTCAATCTGTCCCGCACCATGACTGCCAAATACATCTGCTCTTAATTTAATCCAATCCAATCTACATTCTATAAACAGGGAAGTCTAACAAGACCAGCTGTTTTGCACGTGACAACAGCATTAGAAAGAAAAATGAAGAGAGAAATGTATTGTGCAAAAAATAAGATGTAATTCTCAGATTATTTGTTGTTATTTTATCAAGCAGTGCTTTTGGAGACATCGATCGTTGTAGGCTACTTATTATACAGTTTTATACCACGTACCTGTCACCAGCGCAACTTTGTCATCGAGTCTCCCAATGGAAGCCATCTCTCCAGTCAATAAAATAATCTACCGACAATGTGATCAGTCGAAACTATGCCGTCAGCTTGACAAAAATTAACAGAATGATGACTTGCACACCAGCTTACCAATGCTGATACACTGAAGCATGTGGACACTCTGAACAAGGGAGGTAACTCCCAGTACGTCAAATTCAGTTGAAGCAAAGAATTGAGGTTCAACCCCAGGTATTGAAGATGATGTTACATATATTGAAGAATCATTCAAAAAGAAGATACAACCATACTTAAAAGTCCTGAAAAGTATGTTTATGAACAGAGAAAAAGTACAGGCTACATTGTCAGAATAATTATATATTTTTGATGTAGACGAATTCATAGAATTTCTGATTTTGCAAGATTAGAATTTAACACCAGCCCGCTAGCCCATGGCTTGTATAAATTCATGTGAGCAAGTACAAATTTCCCTATTGTTTTAACATTGCAAGGGTATTTTATATTAACCCGGCTATTAAGATTTTGAGTTTAGTTCTAGCCCTGTTTTGGCTATGTTAGTTTTGTTTTCAATGTTAATGGCCATGATGAGGCTGAATGTACTACCGGGAAGTCTGAGACTGTACTACCAGGGAGGCTGTGACTGTACCACCAGAGAGTCTGTGACTGTACCACCAGGGAGTATGTGACTGTACTACCAGGGAGTATGTGACTGTACTGCCAGGAAGTCTGTGACTGTATCACAAGGGAGGCTGTGACTGTACCACACCAGGGAGCCTGTGACTGTACCACCAGGGAGCCTGTGACTGTACTACCAGGGAGGCTGTGACTGTACCACCAGGAAGTATGTGACTGTACCACCAGGAAGTATGTGACTGTACCACCAGGAAGTCTGTGACTGTACCACCAGGGAGTATGTGACTGTACCACCAGGAAGTATGTGACTGTACCACCAGGGAGTCTGTGACTGTACCACCAGGGAGTCTGTGACTGTACCACCAGGGAGTATGTGACTGTACCACCAAGGAGTATGTGACTGTACCACCAGGAAGTCTGTGACTGTACTACCAGGAAGTCTGTGACTGTACTACCAGGAAGTCTGTGACTGTACTACCAGGAAGTCTGTGACTGTACTACCAGGAAGTCTGTGACTGTACCACCGGGAAGTCTGTGACTGTACTACAAGGAAGTCTGTGACTGTACCACCAGGAAGTCTGTGACTGTACCACCAGGAAGTCTGTGACTGTACTACCAGGAAGTCTGTGACTGTACCACCAGGAAGTCTGTGACTGTACCACCAGGGAGTATGTGACTGTACTACCAGGGAGTCTGTGACTGTACCACCAGGAAGTCTGTGAATGTACCACACCAGGGAGTCTGTGACTGTACTATGAGGGAGTAGGTGACTGTATCACCAGGGAGTCTGTGACTGTATCACCAGGGATTCTGTGACTGTACCACCAGGGATTCTGTGACTGTATCACCAGGGAGTGTGTGACTGTACTACCAGGGAGTCTGTGACTGTACCACCAGGGTGTCTGTGACTGTACTGCACCAGGGAGTATGTGACTGTACTATGAGGGAGTATGTGACTGTACCACCAGGGTGTCTGTGACTGTACTACCAGGGAGTCTGTGACTGTACCACCAGGGTATCTGTGACTGTATCACCAGGGAGTCTGTGACTGTATCACCAGGGAATCTGTGACTGTATCACCGGGGAGTCTGTGACTGTACCACCAGGGTGTATGTGACTGTACTACCAGGGTGTCTGTGACTGTACTATGAGGGAGTATGTGACTGTATCACTAGGGGGTCTGTGACTGTACTACCAGGGAGTCTGTGACTGTACCACCAGGGAGTATGTGACTGTACTATGAGGGAGTAAGTGACTGTACCACCAGGGAGTCTGTGACTGTACTATGAGGGAGTCTGTGACTGTACCACCAGGGAGTATGTGACTGTACTATGAGGGAGTCTGTGACTGTACCACCAGGGTGTCTGTGAATGTACTAGGAGGGAATCTTTGACTGTATCACCAGGGAGTATGTGACTGTACCACCAGGGAGTATGTGACTGTACTATGAGGGGGTCTCTGACTGTATCACGAGGGAGTCTGTGACTGTACTAGGATGGAATCTGTGACTGTATCACCAGGGAGAATGTGACTGTACTATGAGGGAGTATGTGACTGTACTATGAGGGAGTCTGTGACTGTACCACCAGGGAGTCTGTGACTGTACTACCAGGGAGTCTGTGACTGTACTACCAGGGAGTCTGTGACTGTACCACCAGGGTGTCTGTGACTGTACCACCAGGGAGTATGTGACTGTACTACCAGGGAGTCTGTGACTGTACTACCAGGGAGTCTGTGACTGTACTACCAGGGTGTCCATGACTGTACCACCAGAGCGTCTGTGACTGTACTACCAGGGAGTTTGTGACTGTACTACCAGGGAGTCTGTGACTGTACTATGAGGGAGTATGTGACTGTATCACCAGGGAGTCTGTGACCATACCACCAGGGTGTCTGTGACTGTATCACCAGGGAGACTGTGACTGTATCACCAGGAAGTCTGTGACTGTACCACCAGGGAGTCTGTGACTGTACCACCAGGGAGTCTGTGACTGTACCACCAGGGAGTATGTGACTGTACCACCAAGGAGTATGTGACTGTACCACCAGGAAGTCTGTGACTGTACTACCAGGAAGTCTGTGACTGTACTACCAGGAAGTCTGTGACTGTACTACCAGGAAGTCTGTGACTGTACTACCAGGAAGTCTGTGACTGTACCACCGGGAAGTCTGTGACTGTACTACAAGGAAGTCTGTGACTGTACCACCAGGAAGTCTGTGACTGTACCACCAGGAAGTCTGTGACTGTACTACCAGGAAGTCTGTGACTGTACCACCAGGAAGTCTGTGACTGTACCACCAGGGAGTATGTGACTGTACTACCAGGGAGTCTGTGACTGTACCACCAGGAAGTCTGTGAATGTACCACACCAGGGAGTCTGTGACTGTACTATGAGGGAGTAGGTGACTGTATCACCAGGGAGTCTGTGACTGTATCACCAGGGATTCTGTGACTGTACCACCAGGGATTCTGTGACTGTATCACCAGGGAGTGTGTGACTGTACTACCAGGGAGTCTGTGACTGTACCACCAGGGTGTCTGTGACTGTACTGCACCAGGGAGTATGTGACTGTACTATGAGGGAGTATGTGACTGTACCACCAGGGTGTCTGTGACTGTACTACCAGGGAGTCTGTGACTGTACCACCAGGGTATCTGTGACTGTATCACCAGGGAGTCTGTGACTGTATCACCAGGGAATCTGTGACTGTATCACCGGGGAGTCTGTGACTGTACCACCAGGGTGTATGTGACTGTACTACCAGGGTGTCTGTGACTGTACTATGAGGGAGTATGTGACTGTATCACTAGGGGGTCTGTGACTGTACTACCAGGGAGTCTGTGACTGTACCACCAGGGAGTATGTGACTGTACTATGAGGGAGTAAGTGACTGTACCACCAGGGAGTCTGTGACTGTACTATGAGGGAGTCTGTGACTGTACCACCAGGGAGTATGTGACTGTACTATGAGGGAGTCTGTGACTGTACCACCAGGGTGTCTGTGAATGTACTAGGAGGGAATCTGTGACTGTATCACCAGGGAGTATGTGACTGTACCACCAGGGAGTATGTGACTGTACTATGAGGGGGTCTCTGACTGTATCACGAGGGAGTCTGTGACTGTACTAGGATGGAATCTGTGACTGTATCACCAGGGAGAATGTGACTGTACTATGAGGGAGTATATGACTGTACTATGAGGGAGTCTGTGACTGTACCACCAGGGAGTCTGTGACTGTACTACCAGGGAGTCTGTGACTGTACTACCAGGGAGTCTGTGACTGTACCACCAGGGTGTCTGTGACTGTACCACCAGGGAGTATGTGACTGTACTACCAGGGAGTCTGTGACTGTACTACCAGGGAGTCTGTGACTGTACTACCAGGGTGTCCATGACTGTACCACCAGAGCGTCTGTGACTGTACTACCAGGGAGTTTGTGACTGTACTACCAGGGAGTCTGTGACTGTACTATGAGGGAGTATGTGACTGTATCACCAGGGAGTCTGTGACCATACCACCAGGGTGTCTGTGACTGTATCACCAGGGAGACTGTGACTGTATCACCAGGAAGTCTGTGACTGTAGCACCAGGGATTCTGTGACTGTATCACCAGGGAGTGTGTGACTGTACTACCAGGGAGTCTGTGACTGTACCACCAGGGTGTCTGTGACTGTACCACCGGGGAGTATGTGACTGTACCACCAGGGAGTATGTGACTGTATCACCAGGGAGTCTGTGACGGTAATACCAGGGAGTCTGTGACTGTACCATCAGGGAGTCTGTGACTGTACTACCAGGGAGTCTGTGACTGTACTACCAGGAAGTCTGTGACTGTACTACCAGGAAGTCTGTGACTGTACCACCGGGAAGTCTGTGACTGTACTACAAGGAAGTCTGTGACTGTACCACCAGGAAGTCTGTGACTGTACCACCAGGAAGTCTGTGACTGTACTACCAGGAAGTCTGTGACTGTACCACCAGGAAGTCTGTGACTGTACCACCAGGGAGTATGTGACTGTACTACCAGGGAGTCTGTGACTGTACCACCAGGAAGTCTGTGAATGTACCACACCAGGGAGTCTGTGACTGTACTATGAGGGAGTAGGTGACTGTATCACCACGGAGTCTGTGACTGTATCACCAGGGATTCTGTGACTGTACCACCAGGGATTCTGTGACTGTATCACCAGGGAGTGTGTGACTGTACTACCAGGGAGTCTGTGACTGTACCACCAGGGTGTCTGTGACTGTACTGCACCAGGGAGTATGTGACTGTACTATGAGGGAGTATGTGACTGTACCACCAGGGTGTCTGTGACTGTACTACCAGGGAGTCTGTGACTGTACCACCAGGGTATCTGTGACTGTATCACCAGGGAGTCTGTGACTGTATCACCAGGGAATCTGTGACTGTATCACCGGGGAGTCTGTGACTGTACCACCAGGGTGTATGTGACTGTACTACCAGGGTGTCTGTGACTGTACTATGAGGGAGT